TGGAATTACCTCACGTAGTAAACCACGAGGCAAGAACAGATCGGCGAAATCATCTAACCCTGCCAAATCCACTCTGAAGAAAAATGATGAGAACACAAAATCCGACCAGGGAACATCATCTGATACGACTCTGCCATCAACCGAGGAGATTGATCCAATGCATGGTCTGTCAATGGATGATGAGATGAAAGATGTGGGATTTCTTCCTCCAATAGTATCGCTTGATGAGTTCATGGAGTCACTGAACTCAGAACCTCCATTTGGAAGCCCAGAACATGGAAATGCTGTAAAGGAGGAAGAGCCTGCATCTGAGAAGAGTGAGTTAGAAGTTGGGCCACATTCAGAATCTCCTAAGCAGTCTCCAAAGGAACCCTGTAAGAGCGTCTCTCCTACAACAAAACTCGGAAATAGTAATGTAACATCCCCAAAACCGGATCCTGGTGTCGTACTCGATGCTGATGTCTCCAAACCTGAAAAAGCACTTCTGGTTGATAGCTTAAAAGTGGACCGAATATGGGATGGTATACTGCAGCTTAGCGTCTCTTCTCTTGTCTCGGTCACCGGAATTTTCAAGAGGCAAGTCTCTTAAATTACCTTTTAACTTTTTATCTCGTGTTTGCTATTTGAAAAATCTAGTAAATATATTTGGAGCAGAGGGTAAAATCAAAAACTCATGATTGAATTGGGATTTAAGTAGTTGTAGACTTAATTGAAAATAGCTCAGGACAGGGAACTTATTTGTAGGATACAATCATACTGATGCTTGTTTAATTTGTTGAGGAAAAGATGGAGTGAGAAGGATCAAAGATATATATGTTTTAGGTATCATTGAACATTATTCCTGACTAGATTTGATCGTGCAGTGGTGAGAAAGCAAAGACAAGCGAGTGGCCAGCGCTGGTGGAGGTAAAGGGTAGAGTGAGACTCAGTGCGTTTGGGAAGTTTGTACAAGAGCTTCCGTTGTCTCGAAGCCGTGTCCTAATGGTATATATAAAGTTTACTAGCTGCATTATCATTGTAGTAGCATTAGCATTAGATTTATTCAGTCTCTTCTTTGTTACTACTACTACGAGCACCAAAAGATCCACGAATCTTTATCTCAATATTGCAAGTCGTTTCTCACTGCAGACAATAATAGGCTTCTAAATACATGGAACCCAGAAAGCAAAAGCTCACGGTTGATCTACATGTGTGAGACAGGACCGGGACATTAAAGACCATGATTGACCAGAGAATCATATGTGGATTGAAACCGAAATTTTGTATAAAATTCATGAAATTTTGGATGGCAAATCACTTGTAGATGTATTGTTCGGCGGCATTAACTGTATAGGATATAGAATCATCGAAATCTTACCAAGTACCTTTGACAAGACCATAAACTCCAGAGTCCAGAACATACGTGCAGATCATGACCCAAAATAGAAACATATTTTGTCATAGAGAAAAAAAGTTTCTTACATGCATTTTTATCTTTAGTTAATCAGTGTAAATAAATTATCCTGATCCGATTCTCTTTTGTTTGGATTGCAGGTAATGAATGTGGTTTGCAAGGATGGTATCTCTCAGAGCCAACGTGACAGCCTTTTTGAGGTATTAATAATTGCTATTTTAAACAAAAGCTCATATATCTAATTTCGGTCATAGTCCTTCTTTTACTGCACAAGACATTTATAGTATGCTTTAAAAGTCTTTGCCTTCTCCTTTCTTTTCTTGGATCAGGTTGCCAAGTCGTACGTTGCTGACCAAAGAGTTGGTTACGCAGAACCAACCTCAGGCGTCGAGCTTTACCTCTGCCCGCCACGTGGAGAAACCTTAGATTTGCTGAGCAAAATCATCTCCAAGGACCATCTCGATGAGGTCAAGTGTTCAGACAATATTGGATTGATCGGCGTTGTTGTGTGGAGGCGTACGGTCGCATCTCCTAGCTCACGCCATAAGCCAGGATCCAAACGTCAGCACTCTTCTTCAGGCACTAAGAGCTCTGTGTTGGCTCCTGAGAAGAAAAATCCTAGAAGTGTGAATGTTACGAATCATCCTCCTCCTCCTCCTGTTGTTGCTGTTGCATCCGTGAGGATTCATGGTTTAGGTGGTCTCGTTGGTGATGAAGACGACTTGCCACCTGGATTTGGCCCTGTAGCTGCAAAAGACGACGATGACTTACCGGAATTTAACTTCAATGCCTCCAGTGGACCGGTTGCTTCTTCTCCCCGACCACCTCCTCAGTCCCGGTCGATGGATCAAGTAAGGGAGCTCATACTCAAGTATGGAAACTCAGCAGGTAGTGGTAGTAAACGAACATGGAATAATCATGACGATGATGACGACGACGACATTCCTGAATGGCAACCGCAAGTCTCAGGCCCCCAGATTCAACCACCACCACCTCCTCCTCCTGGCTTCAAAACAGAGATGAATCCTCAAATCCATAGCAGAACCGTCGCCAGACCATCGGATGGATGGAGAGCCAATCAAAACGACCCTAGGCAACAACAGTACAGTGCTCGTAGGAACAGAGGATTTTGATCTCTCTGGATATCTTTGTTTTTGTTCCTCTCTGTATATTATACTTTATTAGACTTCTCTATCATCAGTTCTCTTTTGTTTGTAGCTTTTCAATAGAAATGTAATCCTTTAGAATAATGTTTGTCTTTAAGCATAAAAGTTTGAATTCAAGTAACGCAACGCAACCAAAGATTTGTACAGATTGTTTCCAAGACTACGCTCACAGTTCTTCAACCAGCTAAAGCCCGCTTAAGCGCGGACTTCTGGTCGTTTGTCAACCTTGTCGGAAACTGAACATCGAATTTGATCCTAAGATCGCCTCTAGTTCTCGGTTCTTTAGCTATAGGCATCCCTTCACCAGGAACCACAAGCTCATACCCTGGACTGACGATCTCCGTGACACCAACGGACACATTCCGACCATCGAGCGTGTCGACATTAACAGTTGTTCCTCCTATTGCCTCTGCAAGCGTCACACTTCTGCTTGTCATGAGATCATTCCCATCTCTCTTGAACAAATCATGCGGCTTCTCGTCGATCACAAACACCAAATCAGCTGCTAACTGATTCACTTGCTCGTTTCCTTTGTCAGGAAACTTGATCTTGGTCCCTTTCTTCCATCCTGGTTTCACAACAATCGTCAATATCTCTGTCTCTTGCGCCTGTCTCCTGCACAAATCACCAAATGATACTTAAAAACAAGAAAAAGATATTATAAAATAAAAAAAATAAAAATAATAAAACTTTGTTTACCCGTTAGCATCAACAATGGATCTAGAGATCTTCATTTTCCTAGTTGATCCAGAATACAATTCTTCAAGGGTACAAGGCAATTTACTCTCAACCGGTGGAGGTTTCTTAGGAGCAGTCCCGTCGCTGTACGTTCTGAATATATTGTTATCGCTTCCGTTGTTACCACCGAATCCACCAAACATTCCTCCTCCGTCTGATTGAAACCTCGTTGACCTTCCGGGACCACCGGCTGATCCAAACCCAAATGGACTACTTCCAAAGAACTCTGCAAATATATCTTCTGCGTTTCTCGGGTTAAAACCACCGGCTCTTCCGTTGTTAGACGCCGTGCTCCCTGGAGGAGGCATGTCGCTCAAACCTTCTTCACCGTATTGATCATATACCGCTTTCTTCTGCGGATCACTCAGAACCTGAAACATTGCCTCATATGATTTAGAAAATGTGGTTGAGGAGTTACATTTTGCTTATATCCCAAGAAACTCATCCATATATTCATTAGGTTAATTTATAATCCAAAGGAATGGATCTCAGCTTGACATGTATGAACACAGAGTTTTGCATTTTGCGGGATCTATGGGATCATGGGGGACGGAGATTGGAAGATGAAAGAAAATGGAAAATGACTTGCCTCATAAGCCTCAGAGATCTGTTTGAACTTGGCTTCAGCTTCGGTTTTGGAGTTAGGGTTTTTGTCAGGGTGCCATTTCATAGCTAATCTCCTGTATGATTTCTTGAGATCATCCTCCGTTGCGCTCTTGTCCACTTTCAATATGGTGTAATAATCCAAACCCATCTTTTTTTTTTTTTTTTTTGAATATTGATCTTCCTCTTTAATAACCCCAGAAGAAATAATCAGATCTTAAAAAGTCACCAATGGTTGATGAGAAAAAAATTGTATATCTAAAGAATGAAAAGAAAATAAGAAGTTAGAGAGACTTGTTGGTCTCTAGAAAGAGGAAAAACAAAAATATCACCGACTTGAGGGGTGTTCTTTTTCTTTTTTCCCTTCCTTTCTATTGAGGGATATGATCTTAATTGCTCATAGATCATATTATGACAGCTTCTAAACACACACAGAAATTCACGGAATCTATTTTCCTCATTTTTCTCCTTTTTTAATTATTTGAAGCAAGGACGTATTTAGATGATTCTATTAATAGCAACCAGAGTGACAAGCGGACCGCAAAAGTAGCTGCAAATAGATTTTTGAGGCCTTTTGCAGACCCACAGGCAAAATAGTTCCAATTTCCTTGTTTAGATTCCATCGTCTAACTTACTACCAATTACGTTATACTGAGGCCTCGAATCTTTCATTACTGGGAAATAAATACTCCATATCATTAACCATTATTAACAAAATATTTCGGTTGATTGACATAACTGATGGGATACTTCGGTTATACAATTTACATTTAAATCTAACCAAAGCGACAAATCAATTCATAGGTTATAACATTAATACTATAGTAAAGAGAGGACAAAAATCTATCGATATTGAGCAGCAAAGTGGGCAAAGGAGATTTTGACTTTTAAATGGCCAAAAAAGAGCTGAGGCTAATGGATTCATAGCTTTCTCCACCATAAAAACAAATCCCAAACTGAAACTCTTGAAAATCTGTACATTGTACTCTCTTTCCCCAGAAACAAAGTGGGGGAAATATAGAAAGACATCTCCTAAGATAACCATCATCAATCCATTGCAGGATATAGAAAGAAACTTCGCATTCAAAGGACTCATCAAATCAGGAGGACGACACAGGGGCGTTGGGTGTACCCGAGGATGATGATGCACTTCCTTCAGTACCTGCACTCTTTGTTTTTGAAGACTCTGTGGTTTCAGGTACGTCGCCAATGTCCAGTGTGTCTGGGAGGTATTCTTGAGCTTCAGAGCTGTAAATCTGTATCCATGTAACATCAAAACTCATCACTCAGCCAGGTTTTCACAGACGCCTTGGATTCAAACATACTATGGTGTGTAACTAAAGTGTTGTGAGATGGCTAGTGAATGAATTACCTCGAGCTGGTTGAGCATTTCGATAGTTGCATCAAGATCACCATTGTTAGCCATGTACACATCATTGATAGACTCATGTGACAGATTAGAGAATGTGACTAGAAGGAACTCAATCTCCATGTCCATCTCCAGATCCTCATCCCTCATCTGCTTTGGCATCGACATTTGAGAGCCTGGGTAGCATCCCGTTCCTTGGACTCCGCCATAGCCATGAGCTGCTACCTGAGGTTGGTGCTGCTGCACGTGTTGTGTGGCAGGTTCTCTTTTGAAGAGTGGTACGTAAGCTGCTGCGTACGGGTTCAACGAAGAAGATCCTCCTGGCTTCATTTTTCAGAGCTCAAATTCCACTTGCAACAACGAAAGAAGACAGCAAAAACAAAATCAGTAATGGCCTGCGCTAACAAACCACATTCCTACGAACAAGATTGTCATTATGATTCCAATCAGAAAAAAAACCATCCAAATCAAATAGCAAATGGATAATGAGATCATCGTTACAGATATAGAGTCGCTGATAATACAATCAGCTTTTCTTATTCTTCGTGACGCCTTAATCTACGCGCCATCAAAATCGACTGAATTTCAACAGGAACGTCAAAAATCTAAGCCATCGATACTACGGTTCTAAGGCTTCTCACAGGAATATGGAAATCTATCGGAGGAAGATGACATGAACAAAGGAATAATAGGAGATACAACGATCAAACACGATTCGCGCAATCACATGAACATAGATCGCAGAAATCAGAAAAATACAGCAACAGATAATCAAACTGAAACTGAAAATTTTTCTTATGATCGGAAGAAACTGATTCCGATATAAGCAAAACGGAAACACGAGCAGGCGGGATCATTGCGGTCACGTCAACGATCGCCGTCAACGGAGAATCGGAAAAAACGAGAGAGAGAAGGAGCTTACCAGGATAAAACGAGAGCGTTGAAGAGGATTGTTCGACGAGAGAGAACGGAATTGCAGAGATCTAAGAAAAAACGCTGAAAAAGTGGGGAAGGGAAATAAAACTGCTCAATAATGGACTTATATTGAAAGCGGAATATCGAAGAACGAGCGTTTACTTGAAGGTCCACATCACGGTGGGGTCTGTTTGGAGACGTAATTATCTTATCCTTGACCCGGTTATTGGGCTCTCTTTTGATATTTTCTCCGGTTGTGTGACGTGTCCATTGAGGACTGGCTCCCTCTTCGTCTCTTTATGTCAGCGTATAAACCGGAAACCCCGTAAATGGAGAATCTGGTTAGTAAAATGGTCAGCAAATGGTTCAATTTCAGTCTCCGGTTTATAATTGTCTCGCGGTTCACGAATCTCTCAAAGAAACGGTTTATATTTGGATGTTGGCTCAAAGAAACGGTTTATCTCGTGGTGTTTGACCAAAACAAAACAAAATAACATAAACGATTATTGTTACGAGCCGGAGGCTTTTGTGGTTAAAATTGCAGTGGCTTGAAAATCATTAGTGCATCATACAAACTGATATACGGAAATAATTTTCGGTATGAGCTTAATTAAGGGTTTTGGGGGCAATCGTCACTAGTTTGGTCATTTGATGGATTGTGAAATCAGTTTATAAGTGAAGCCATTGGAATCAGTTTGCTCATATAACTTAACTTGGTTCAAATCAGCTTATATAGAAAAAGGTTGGGATTGTGAAAACAAAACACTAAATCCAATAGCAAACACAAAAGCAAGAGTCACTCATAATTCATAATTGTCTCAACTCAAAACACACAAGATTTAGTACTTCTCCAAAATGTCACTAGCTAGAGAGAGTAGTGATTACTCTTCGTTGTTGCGGCTAGGAGGAGGATTAAGGTGAATCTTGAGAACACCAAACTCAATAGAACCAGAGACGGTGTGCCTTAAAAGTGAAGGCGCAAATTCAGGAGTGTTGCCGAATCTTCCCACGTAGAGACGACCACTCTCATCGTGCTCACTCACATTCTTCCCCTCACCTCTGAATTCAACTTGATACTCTTGAGGAATCAGTACAGCATCACCCTCACTAGCACCTGGCAAATCCACCGCAATGTAAAGTCCTCCATCATCTTTTGGCTCCGCAAAGATGGCTCCTTTACGACCCCTCACCACAAACGGATGATCTTCCACGATTCTTCCGGATTTACCTTCAATACAAGAGTAAAAACGAAGCCTTTAACAAATTCTGGATATGCAAAGATGTAAAAACAGAGTTTTTGGGGGAGAGGGTTTTGGATTCGAACCAGTGAGAGGAGGAGGCAGAGTGAGATCACACTTGTTCTCGTGGTCCTTCACTTTGACCTTTGACACAATCATCCTCAAGACTCCATCTTTCATCTTGGCATCAACTCCTGTGATCTCGCAGCAGTCACACCCGAGACCCGTGGTTCCAGAGTACTCACGGACTCCGTTGTTCACGTAGTTACCGTCGCTGAGAGTCTCGCCGGAGAAAAAGACGACCTTTTGCCTCACGGCGTCGACTCTGTAGCGGATGGCGTCGTCTGGAACACCGGGCAAGTCTACGCGCACGTAGAGATCTCCGCTCTCGAGAGCCTTCACTTCCATGAAACCCTTTGGACCGGATTTCTGGAACTGGTTGTTGGTTGCGTAGAAACCGGCTGTTTCATTACAGTGGAGAAAAACAGAGATTAGAACTAAAAGGAAAAAAAAACGTAGGAAGAAGATAAAGTTTAATGCTTTAATTAGTTGCCAGAAAACTGAAGAAGACACTATCAAAGAACACTAAAAAAGCAAACTTTAGATGAGAAAAAATCGATATCCATGGAAAATGAAACAAAGTAAAGAGAGATTAAGGAGAAAGAAAGAAACCTGGGTTGGAAGTAAATCTCGACATGTCGATGTACGTCATCCCAGCCATCTCTCTCTAATTTTTCTGTCTTCTCTCTTTCTCTCTCTGGTTCGCGTAAAAATGGAGTCTTGTGAATTTTGTTGTTGATGGATATTATAAAGAGACGAGGCAGGAGGGTACAATGTTATGTTCGTGACGTGGCACCTCAGAGCTCTTTTAATAGTTCGAGAGAAATCGAAATTTTAACTGCTCTATGGTCGGTCTATGGATGGTAGCTTTATGTCACTAATAACTGTTAAACAAATGTTATCTTTGCACTAAGCCAAGTTAAGGAAAATTTACTTGATAAAAGACGTTTCTTTGGATTATAAACTTTGTTAAGAAAAAAAACTTTGTTAAGAATTGAGAAAACAAATGTCTATGCTTTTACTTTTACAGACCCAAGAACTAAAGCATGAAAGACGCTGACGTCAGCGATGCTTTTAGGTATGAGCTGGCTTTTACTTGTTTTACAACAAGACAAGACAAACCCAAGAATTTACAATTGTTGTTTTGCACCAACAACTTCTCTGAGTCTCTCTCTCTCTTTTAAAGTTTCAAACCTTTTTTTTCAACTTTGATAAGATATGATGTTTGACCAAAACAAAAATAACATAAACCATGGAGAGATTATTGTTAATTACAATATGAGCCGGAGGCTTTGTGATTGCCAATTATGGAGCCTCAGAGTTGGAGGAGCTACGATTTGGGCTTAAGGCAGCAAGTCAAGAGTGAGGCCCATTTCTTCTTTCTTTCCATGGTTTTTCTTCTTCAATGCCCATTTCAATATTTCATTTATCACCAATTTTTGCTAAAAACTTGCTATCAACAACACGAAAAATACCTTTCTAAACAACTGTATGATGAATTTTGTCGTTGTTGTTGTTGTTAAAAGGCCAAATATGATGAATTATGAACATAGCAAAGCTCAACAGTTACAATTGTCTCAAATCGAGTCGCTAAATTCACACCATTCTCACTTGCTAAGACCTAGTCATCTACCACAAGCCAATCACCTACTACCACCATGAATGTTCGCGACTAACACAAAGCTGAATCTAAGACACATAAAACAACAACAAAAATTAACAAAAGGAACGAAGATAAATCAATGAATATGAATATCTATAAGAGCTTACAACTCAAGTAAATTGAATTGTGTTTTCTTGTGCATTCATATATTGTAAATATACTTTTTATTCCGATAAAGTGTAGATCTATAATCTGAGGTTTGGTATATACGTATATGCCATTATTAATAAGTTTTAGCTTCTTTTTCAGACAAACTATTTGAATTTAGTCAAGGTGACTCGAATTGGCCAGCATTTTCCATGAATTTAGACGAGTTTTGTGCGGCTCGTAATTTGTTTTGGTTTTTTCTTTGTTTTTCTTTTATGTTCTTCTAATTTTAAGATCGGATGTTGCTAAAGACTCTGAAGACTTTTCTTTTATAGACTATGCTTCTCCAGTTTGGTTAACTCGTCATTTGAATTAACTTAAGATTAAGGTTGACAAAAAGACAGTAATCCGAGTAACTTGGTAAGAAACATTTGACACCTAAAAACTAGCATCATCACATATTTCTCTCTATATTTTTTTTTAACTTTGCTTTTGTTTTTCTTTCTTTCCTCAGACGCTAAACAAGTGGGACAATTTTCATTTCACATTTACCAAGTCAATTCCAAATGAAATAGACTAATCTTAATTTACAAAAATAGTATGTTTTTTTTTTTCCAAAGACTAATCGTTTAATTTAGTTATTCATTGTGACACTGTAATAAAATTGTGATGATAAAGAAAACATTACAGTTTTTAGACATTCTTGGTCAAAGCCAATGCTGTAATGGAATTACTTTTTACATAATCTACTAAATAAAGATCTAAAAATAGCAATTACATATATGTTTTACAGTTTTACTCCACTCTCACATCTAATAAGAAGAATCTGTAGCTTTTCACTGCTAATCTCTCTCTCTCTTTTAATCTGAAGTAAATAAAAAAAATCAATACATCAGAAGAAGAAGGAAGAAGAAGAGTGAATAAACAAAACAAAACTAAAGTGCATCAGAGAGTGTCATGAGGATTTGTAAACCGACACTATTATCATTCGTCGCGACCGTCGTCGTACTCCACATCTCCACCGTCGTAGCCGCCGCTCCCGGTGGATCCCGGCGACTTCTGTACGCCAGAGACGACCCTATAACCATACCTCCGTACTTAGTCTTCGAAAACGTGAGGCTCGAGAGAGCTTACGTGGCGTTACAAGCGTGGAAGCGGACCATGGTCTCTGACCCGTGGAATCTAACGTTAAACTGGTTCGGATCACGTGTGTGCGACTACAACGGAGTTGTATGCTCCTCGTCCCTCGACGATCCCACGATCAAAACTGTCTCCGGCATTGATCTAAACCATGGCGATATCGCCGGTCACCTCCCGGAAGAGCTTGGCCTCCTCACTGACATTGCTCTGATCCACGTCAACTCGAACCGGTTCTGTGGGACCCTCCCACTCGGGTTCTCGCAATTGAGTCTCCTTTTCGAACTCGACCTCAGCAATAACCGGTTCGCTGGTAAATTTCCGGAATTGGTAATCGGTTTACCGAAATTAAAGTATCTGGATCTCCGGTACAACGAATTCGAAGGTGCATTACCGGAATCTCTGTTCGAGAAAGATCTAGACGCTTTGTTTCTGAACAGCAACCGGTTCGTTAGTAAAATCCCGGTTAACATGGGTAATTCCCCGGTATCGGTTCTGGTTCTTGCGTCCAACAAGTTCGAAGGATGTGTACCGACGAGTTTCGGTAAGATGGGTCAGACTCTGAACGAGATCATCCTCATGGACAACGGTTTACAGTCGTGTTTTCCGAGTGACTTGGGGTTGCTCAAAAACGTCACCGTTTTGGATGTTAGTTACAATTGGCTGGTCGGAGAGTTGCCGGAGTCGATCGGACAGATGGAGAATCTTGAGGTGTTGAACGTAGAGCGTAACCAGCTTTCCGGTGTAATACCGGAGGAGCTATGTTCGCTTAAGAATCTTAAGGAATTCAGATACGGGTCTAACTACTTCACTGGAGAACCGGCCACGTGTCGCAATCTGGAATATTATAATAGTACGATGAATTGTCTCAAAGAGGAGAAGGAGCAGAGGTCGACGATGGAGTGTAAGGCGTTTTTGTCTAGACCTGTAGATTGTGATTCTTTCAAGTGTAGTCCCGTTTCTCCGTGTCTGTCTCCTCCTCCTCCTCCGCCGCAGATATCACCATCTGCACCTGCTCCTTCACCGTCAGAGCCGTCTCTGCTTCCACCTGCACCCTCACGGTCATCACCGCCTCCGGCAAGACCATGTCCGCCATTATACTCACCGCCTCCAACGCCGCCGCAGTCGTCTACACCCGCGGAACAACCGGTGGGTCAGATTCCTGAGGACTCGTCTTCGCCATCGCCGATGAACTGATCAATATCTATGTGTAGAAACTAGGAGGCGCATGTGTGTGAAATGAGATTGTCTACAGCCACGGGAGATATCTCCGGCGTTTGTATTGGGAACAGGGAAAGTTACAAGTGGAGACATTGAGCGGGAAATCTTTAGGACATGAATGAAGTGTAGGAGGACTATTCTCTTTTCTAGATTTGCATGTGTGTGTTTATTTTTTTTACTTTTATACAACTTTTAATTTTTTGCTAAAAGCTTTTATATAACCTTTAGTCTCTGCTTCTTGTTGTTGAGCCTTTTTCAGATTCATTAATAAGAACAAGGGTAGCAACAATTTGACGACACAGATCAACTGATCATATTTAGATACTATCTTGAAGTTAAGACCATTGCTATATATAAGAGTAATTTATTTAACCTGTTTTCTTCCAAGCAAAATCCAAGGTCCCTTGTGACATAGCGACGTTTCCTGACCCTTAAACTCTTAAAGAATGAAGCTGCGTGTCAAAAAAAAAACTTTATAATTCAAAGACTCAAGAGTGTTAATCGATAAAACAACGTGTATTTGGAATGACGAAGTCATGAATTAAAATCCTTTCAATTGCTAATTGTTTTTGTTTCCTGTTTTTCTTTTGAGATTGGACATGATTTACCTTTTCTATAATCAGAACACGCATCTTATTCCGGTTAAACTTTGGACTCGTTTGTTTTCTGAATATTTATGATATGTTTGTTGTGAAGGATTGAAAATAAAAAATGAGAGTTGTGTCTACATCACAGTTCATAGACTAGAGATAAGCTTGCTTGATGCTTGGGGAGTTCGTGGGAAATCCACCAATCATTTATAAGCCACGTCACTAGCCGCATATCTCCGCAGTAAGTTAATCAAGTTAAGTTCAACACGAAACCTTCTCCGCGATGATCTACACATATCAATTTTTGATACTAAAAAATGTTTTAGTATTTAGTTATTTACCCATGTAACATCTCAAAAGAATTTCTCAGGTGTTTTGCTTAAAAATTGATTTGCATTTTGAAGTCACATATTTCCAAAAAAAAGAAGAAGAGAGAGTTAATGGTGTGATTGATTTTGTTAACTAATGCAGATGCAAGGCATTCCAGTTGTGGCATTGAAAATAAGATCTTAGACATTTGGAAACTATTTGGCGACATGTGTGTATGTTTTCCTTTTTGTTTTCCGTTTTTTAACATCTCTTTTAACATTTGGTGTGATATTAAACGTATACGGATCCTGGAAATTAATGGTCTAAGATATTTCGCTGTCATTTTGGCCGACGTCTCTGTCAACGAAGAAGAGGCAAAATTCGAAGTATCTGGAAAGTCAAGCCTCATCTTCCTCCCTCTATAAACCACACGCGTTTATCCCTCAAGTTTCAATCACCTGAAAACTCGAATTTTGTTCGGCGAGGCGTCGTCACGTTCCAATCGGAGGTTTCTTCCTTGAAGCTCCCGGAATAATCGTCGGAGAACTTAGCTTCGTCTCTCTGAACTTCTGATCGCTGGAGGTCGCCGGATCGAAAGTTCGTTATCTCTAATAGCGTGTTGATTTTAATTTTTCTCTCCGTGATTAGATCCTTCATTCCTTGGATTATTTCTTGGTAATGTCTAATGTGTCTCTAAATGCGTGGTTGATTTTTCTCGTACACTTTAGTTTTGATCGACTAGGTTCCGTATAGTTTTCGAAAATTTTGGAAGATTTCAGAAGAAGAGGAACAGTTGATTGGAAGAATTTTGTAGCTTGAGAGTGTCAAATTCCGAATTCCTCTGCAAATAGATCATGTTCTCTGTTGGATGAGGAGCTAAGTAGGAACCATAGGCCTTCATTTCACCTAATCTTCTCTCCAGCAGATTTAGCTTTTGCTTCATAGACGATGTTAGGCTGGACATTATATCATCCATCAACAGAACGCATTTGACATTTCCTTGGATTTTAACCACACCTATGACCATGAGGCAGTCTTTAAGTTGGCAAAGTTGGATTTTTTGGTATCGTTGGAGTGCTTTTAGGTGCTGTTCCAGGAGAGTAAAAGCCAGATTCAAGATGAGTTAGTATCTTCCTTCTTGTTGATCTAGTGAATAATCGATTCTCTATCATCACCTTAGCTGCTACCCTTTCCGTGCGCTTCTTTATGGATATTATTCTTCATTAACCTAGACTTGTGCAATCTTAATTCTACCTTCCTTTGATCATGCAACTCTTCAACTATCTGTTTATCATCTCTGATCTCGCCAAGAGTGCTATGTGCTTTGTCATCATCTCATCTAAGGTGGATTAACAGAAGTTCCTCTTTCCTCTAATTACGGGGTTATCATTTAGGTCAATAGATAACAGGTCAGCTTTGAAGATGGGGTTCTATAAAAACAGAGTAATATTCAGTCTTTTCTTTCCTTAAAGCAATTTCTGATTCGTATGCTGACTGAAGAATTGGTCAGAAAATGGTGCAGAGTGGCTGTAGGAGGTAGGCCTGTCCTCTTTGGACACTAACCCCTCTCTTTTAACCCGGTTATTCCCATGCTTATCAGCTTATGTCAGTCCCAAACCCTGTTTGATCGAATTTACCTTGCTTTTACGATAGGTCGGGCATATCCGGTTTTAACTGGATAGATGACCCCAGATTTCAAGGACTGAAGTGAGCACTCAGTGTGCTAAGCTTTTATTTCCTTATGAAGGCTCCATCAACCAAGAGGCCTATGTTTAGTTGTTTAACAGGATACTTGTAGATCTTCTTGTTTTGATGATTATTCCTCTTGGGAGAAAGCTGTGATTGGAGCCGTTTCATAACTGGATTGTCTTGGTGCTGATTGGATTGGTGTGCTGCAATGTAGATGGAAGCAACAGTTCATCGAATTTTTTCATGGCTTTTCAGGTGACAGATAATGTTTTCCAGGTGAGGAATATTTTCTCTAAATCTTTTTTTATTTGCAGGTTTCATAACTTTCCATCAGCTAGCAGTGTCCTCCGATATCACTGGACAGATAATTCATAATGGGAGAAGTACATTTCAACCACTTCGCTCAGCAACTGCAGATGCCTGACAGAAACAAGGGTGAGATGTCAAGAAATTTGCAACCACATTCAATCAATGAAGAATCTCAGTCGTCAACTCTGGAAAGGGTAGCAGAAGAGTCATTAATAAACGAAGTCCTTGGTCGAGGACTAATGGAGCATGGGTAATTTATTTTCTGCCTGTTAGTATTTTGTTACAGTTGTGGGTGTTTCTCGGAATTAATTTCCCCTGATGTTCTTGCAGATGTCCACATTACAGAAGAAGGTGTTGCATTAGAGCTCCTTGCTGTAATGAGATCTTTGGTTGTCATCACTGTCATTATGAGGCGAAGGTAGAGTTCTCTATTTCAACTTATAGTTTTCAGGAAACTGTCTTTTTTTAGTACCTCCTATTTTTTCTCAAGATCTGTTTGCTGAATTTTTGTAATCATGTCTTGGAATCAGAACAGTATTAATGTAGGTCAGAATCAGAGGCATGATATTCCTCGCCAGCAAGTTGAACAGGTAAAGTCGTCTGTATATCTTGTTCGCTCTATGTTTTTTACTTTTTGCTCGATTCCCAGTTGACAAGATCTCTATCTCCTCTTTCACAGGTTATTTGCTTACTCTGTGGCACTGAACAAGAGGTGTGCTCTAACTCTTATGCTTTGCCTCAAGTTTTACTGCTATTAGAAATGAGAGGATTGGTGCGATCAGTGGAGAAGCTGAGTGGCCATTAATAGAAAAGATGCGATCAAACTTTTCCTTAACGTTGTTGAAAAAGTAACTCTAAACAAGTAACTCTCTTATTCTCTGGCATTTGCCAGGTTCGCCAAATGTGTATCAACTGTGGAGTTTGCATGGGGAAGTACTTCTGTGAAGTTTGCAAGCTCTATGATGATGAGGTAAGTTTTCTGATGATAATTTATTCCTAAGCTTGTTTGTGATATCCTTTTTCTTTTTCTCTATGCTATAGACTAGGCCCTGAGATTTCCAGGCTTCTTTACTGTTGCTGGTTAACCATTGTCTTTATCTTGTTTTCAGACGTCTAAAAAACAGTATCACTGCGATGGATGTGGAATCTGCAGGTACATTCTTGAGCTTCTATTTATTAACATACAAGAAAAACGTCTGATTTACTCTTCACGCTCTATAAGTTTCTTCATAATAACTGAAATCTTACTTCATTTGTTCCAGAATCGGTGGACGTGAGAATTTCTTTCACTGTTACAAGTGTGGTAAGCCATCTTCTGCATCAGATAACCTCAACTTCTAAGGCCGGAGACCAATATATCTGTTGACTTTTACAATCTAACCAGCTCTCTGATTCTCAACCAGGCTGTTGCTATTCAATCCTTCTCAAGAACAGTCACCCTTGTGTTGAAGGAGCTATGCATCACGACTGTCCCATTTGTTTTGAGGTAATACTTAATTGTCAATTTTGTTCCACTTCTCTCCACTGTAACCATGAACGTCCCTTGATAACAACTCTGTTCTTGCTGGTTGTTCTTCCAGTATCTGTTCGAGTCACGGAACGATGTAACCGTTTTGCCCTGCGGACACACAATCCACCAGAAGTGCTTGGAGGAAATGAGAGAACATTATCAGTAAGTTGAAATAACTCAGGTCTTCACAAAAGTTGGTATTGTGGAATATCTTCCAACCGAGATCTGTAAAACTACTCCGCAGATACGCGTGCCCACTCTGCTCAAAATCTGTATGCGACATGTCAAAGGTGTGGGAGAAATTTGACGTGGAGATTGCTGCTACACCAATGCCGGAACCATACCAGAACAGAATGGTTAGTCTAAACTTACTCTTACCTCTCATCATCCTTAAAGCAAGTCAAGGAATCAAAATCTGCAGATTTATATAACTAATATCTTTTGATGTTTAACAAAACAGGTTCAGATTCTATGCAACGACTGTGGGACGAAATCGGAGGTACAGTACCATGTGGTGGCTCAGAAATGCCCAAACTGCAAATCATACAACACTCGCCAAACCCGAGGCTGACTGAAGCTGGCTTTTGTAAACATGGCGTTCTAAAGTTTGCTTGCTATCAGATGCATTGAAGAGCAATTCACTTGAGCCAATTGTGTCATTGGCTCCTTAATCTGAGGATCCATCTCTCGAGTCATTCTCTTGTTAGCTGGTGTTCTGTCAATAGTCTAGTTACCTTCCATTAGATGTCACCTTTGTCTCCCAACTCTGAAGTAATAATTACTTTAATCTAAAATCAATGATGTTCAAAAACCCCAAAAGGCAAAGGTAGCGAACAAAATCCAGATTGAAAAAAGTAGCATTATTTGAAAGTGAAACCTTCTGAATTAGCCGGTTTGATTTGGTACACCGATAACCATAAAAGACGAAAATACGAAGCTTCAATTTAAAGCGGTTTCGCTAGCTCGCGTATTTATAGCTTTTGGAGACTGTAGTACTGTACATAGGCAAAGGCCACACTAGTCTCGTCTCAAAATTAAATTTGTTTACTCGCTACACACAAGCTCTCGCTTCACTTCGAAATCTCTCTCTCTCTCTCTCTCTCGACGAAAATGGCGGAATCACCGTCGCAGAGTGGCGCAGAGCTTGTTACTCATCAATCTCCTGCTCAGCAAGCTGAATCGGATCTGGCGTCTCTCGTTTTCGGTTTGTTTTTTGTTTTCCCTTTTACTGTGATCCTTTTTCATTCGCTAGCGAACACAGACTGATCTAGGAGTGAGCGTCATGTTTGTGAAATCATGACGAGTTTGTGAAAATCTCGAAACTGAATGACCTACGATGTGGTATTTTACGAGTTTGTGCATCCTGGTTGGCTTAATCGCTTGATCTGCAGTTAAATTCGCATTTCTTCTTTGTGATGAAAAGCTAATCCACCTGTAGAATCGAGATGTATATCAGAAACCGCCATTGTTAGTTGCTAGCTACACTGGTAAAAAAATTGTAGGTGATAACTATAGTTTCTCAATTAGATAGTGATTCCTGTTGCTTTCGCAAATTCGCTAAAATATCCATTATAGTGGTTTTGATTAGTTTGGGGTCTCTGAGGTCGTCATCGTTTGCTATCAGATTGTTCATGTTCTCGAAACACTATTCTTTTTCCTTTTGCTTATGCAATTTCATGAGGCAGACACCATAAGTCGTTTGAATGTTTCATGGATTAGTGGATTGAGATTACAAGTCAATGCTGTAGCTAAATCTTTATGAACAATGTGTGTAGATATATTTGTTGTGCAACCTTTTAGCCATGTCCTCCTGATATGTTGAAAACAAACGAAAAATTGCAGAAATGTCACAGCAAGTTCAGATGGGAATGGAGAACATGCTCAAGTTGGTCAAGTAAGGATTCTCTTTGTCTATCTTCAACTAATAGCTACTGTTGAGTGTTGTTGATCCAGTGCCTCTCCCTTTGTTGACAAACTTCCTGCAGTGAGATCGATCAAAACTCTGTTGGAATCAAGGAAGAGATCGAGAAATCAAAGGAATTTGCTCTGGAGAAGAAAAGGGTTCTTGAGGAAGAGAAAGAACAGTTTCAGAAAGCTGCTTACACTATTCTAGACATGCTTAGCAACCGAGACTGAGGTTAGATGCGGTACTCATTTTAAACCTCTCTCACGGCGTCACTCAGATTTTAGTCTGACATTGAAACTGCTAAGATTCATTGCTTTTACCTGATTAGCTTCCCTTTTGTTGTAGGAAATTGCTCTGGAGAAACTTATCAGGTAAAAGAGTTATAAATAAATGTCAGAAAGACTCTCACTGGTTTTGTTTAGTAGCCTTATAGCTTGGCATTGCCATTACTGAAACTTCTATCACAAAGTGTGAATTCTGAAAAATACTAGTGAATGAAATTCGTTACGGTGACTCTACACACACACACACACACACTTTATGGTTAGTAAATTCGGATTGAAGTGAAAAAGCTCATAAAAATAGATTAACAAATGAACGAGTTGGGCTTGCCAAGAATCATGTACAGCTTTATCAACTATTATCATACTGGACCAGAGATTGAGTATTCATATTTAACCTTACGTCATATCAATTTCTGTGGAATAAGGAATCAAATGATGTGCTGTTCAAGTCTAGTCAAAAAGAAGATTGTACTGTTCAAGTAGGTGTAATAAGTAAATTGGAAAATGGACATAGTATATAAAGAAGGTTATTATATCCGCAAAAATAAATAAAAACCGAAAATGCTAAAATTTTCAGAATAAGGAACCGATTACATAAATATTGAAAATGTAAGAAAGAATACAAAAGGATAAATACTTATAACCCTAGGGTGTAATAAGTAAATATTAAATAGTAAAATCATCCCTCTTTTGGCGGGAGAATTTCTCCATTTTCGACTCCCACTTCCAGAAAAACCCATTCATCGTCTCTTCCTCTCTCTCTCTCTCTCTCTCTCTCTCTCTCTCCGAAAATGGTAACGCTCCGCCAGAGAACAACTGTCGCGACCGCGACCGCAGAACCCGAGCCGGCGTTGAAAGAAGCTGGAATCGGCGACGACTTAATTATTCTGGAGGACGATTCTTCCCCTGACTCGGCGGTGAAGCACTTGCGTGGACGCTGGGAACTTGCTTCGGTTCTTAATTTCTTAAATGTACGAACCTCTTTCGCTTCTCACTCGTCTTAAATGCCTTAATGATTCGATTTCGCTTTTCAGGCGAATCTTCGTTTTCCCCCTTTTTTTTATGATGTTTTCGATTTACGCGTCTAGATTCTAGGGATTTGTCAGAGATTTTGCTGCTTGGTGCATTAATTTCACGGGAAATCTAAAAGTATCTTTGACATTTGGTCATCTGATTCGCTTGCGATGTTTTCCTAAAAGAGATTTTGTTGCTGCGACAGGTCTTTAGCCCAATTCTCTCGGATAAATTGAAGCTAAAAGCTGAGGAGATAGAGACGGGTCTTATCGAGTGCAACACCAAAAATGCTCAGCTTCACATTGCACTCTTAAAGGTTTTAACTTTAATCTTTTACCGAGCTTAACATATTGCTTTAGTATAAGCTATCTGCTGCTGTTCATGGACTATAACAAGCTTAAGTTTATATAAATCTTCTGAATCTGTATGTTAATCTTCTGGAACTGAAACTCCACAGGGGATACCACCGGTACACAAATTGCTTGACGATGGAGATGCCTGGATCACGTTGCTGTGTAAGAAACTCGCTCCATACTGGTCATGGGTAAGGCCACACTGAACGTTTTGAAATCCTCTTTTGAAACCGGTTATGGTTTTCATATTTTTGACTCCTGTAATCCCCACTATTGCAGATTGCACAGGGTGAAATTCCTGTAACCGCTAACAAAGGGTAATGGTGTAAACGATGTCAATATTGTGAAGTATGGGTTTCATATTGAGGTTGAGATGGTATTGATGACAACTTTATTCTCTTCTGTTGTATGGCTAGGGAGGAAGTATCTGAATACAAAGGACTTGACCCTGTTGATCGCCTGAGGTTTCTGAAGGCACTTTGTGAGCTTCGAGTTGATGTAATTCCTTTCTTGTCATTTAGTTGTTAAACTCTATTTATCAATGCATGCCTCTTTCACTCTTTGGTTACTAGTTGGATCTGTTGCTTTTTCCTGATAAGTTTATCTTCTTGTTCCCATTGATGGACGGTATAGCAAGGTGATGCTCGTACGCATATTCAAGAAAATGCTAAGGAAGGAGCATGGGATTCCAGTTTCCGCAAAAGGAAGTTAGGAGGAGATGGAAAGAAGACTGCGTACTGGTAGTTACATGTTTTTATTGCTTCGTTATATATTTTACATTGACATTTGGTGTGATTAACCTTCATCTTTCTTTCTTTTTTGCATTCTAGGTTTGATGGTAATGACATCCAGGGGTACAGATTATATAGGGAAGTCACTGAAATCTCAAAGAACGCTAAAGCAAGGAAGAATGAAAGCTCCGATGTATCTAATGTCAGCTGGGAAACTGAAGCAACCAATCTTGATCAATTTCAGAGAGCCGCTGTAAGCTTTTTGGTTTTTATTTGTGCTTCTACTCTTTAATATGTGTGGAATTGTTTTCCTCATTCATTAATAATATGCTGTAATGGCAGAGAGAGTTAACATCAAACAAAGCTTCTTCTTTGGCTGCTATCGGCCAGATGATTGAGACAGATGCTATACCCGTCGTTGAGAAATATCATAAAGTACTTTTTCTACTGTTAGCTACATACCGCAACTTCGTTCTTTATGCTTGTGCATACCTGCTATATCATGTTTCTTTAACGGTGTTTTACATTCTTTTTGCAATAACAGAAGATAGAAAAGGCCATCAAAAGGAAAATGAAGCAAGAAAGGGTCTTTAGTGTCAACTTCTCCCGTCCTATCCGAACGACGCGTTCTTGCCGTAACCGCGTGCCTGCTAGTTACACCTTTGGTAAAGTCATTAGTTTCTTGCGTTTCTTCCCTCTTATTCGGCAATGTTATCTATCTTGTTGTGTAGCTCATTAGTTTGCATTTCTTATTATGCAGAGGAGTATGACAAGATGATCAGTGAGGCCGTGGAGGAAACAGAGTAAGTGCTTGACTACTTTGTTAAGCAAACTTGTTCAGCTTATTCCTTTAAGGGATGCAAATTGATTTACTGAGTGGTCTAAGTTGTTTTGATTTTTGAGCTTTAGCATGAGGAAAACGTCATGATTCACTTCTTTTTCTTGATCAGGGAAATTGATCAAGGAGATGAGGAAGGAATGGTGCAACACAGTCCTCCATTGGGCTCAAACGACAGTTCTGAAGGTAACAATGTGAAGTCAACAGAGTATGTGGCAATAGCAGAGGAAGTACCTGAAAGCGGCAATGACGATGAAAAAGAGAATGAGAATGAGAAAAGCAAGGTGGAATCAGAGGGGAAGATGGAGTTCAGTGCCAAAAACAGGCTGAGGCAAAGGGTGACGAGGAACTCAGCTCTCTGCTAATTTAAACATGAGTGTTGTAGAAGAAATGGTGTTAGCTTTTGAATGTAAGTGGAGAGACCAAGCTTTTGATTAATTAGCGGGTTTAGGACGTGGAAGAAGGTTTGGTTTTTTGGTTCTGTGGTGATGTACTACATTCCTAACAATTTAGATCTTACTCTTGTTCACCATCTCCCATCTACTATTTCATGATCTTACTCTTATAGGTTTTAGTACATTAGCTGTTGTAACAGTCAGGGTGGCCGAGTGATCTAAGGCGCCAAACTCAATTTCTGGTCCTCCTGAGAGGGCGTGGGTTTAAATCCCACTTCTGATATTGCTCGAGTAGATTACTTTCACCATTTTTTTTTAAAAAAACTGGTATTTATTTAAGGGTTAGTTTGGTTAAACATATTGACAACCATAATTAAGAATATATAGCCATAGCAAAATCAAAATAAAGAAACTTACCATAGTTAAACTTACTTGACCAAATTGCTCTTATTGTTGTTGCCAGTTATAATTGAAACAATTGAAACAATTGGCTCAGTAATTGGCTCAGTAATTATACTAAATAAATTATTAGTATTAGGACATAAACAATTGATTTAATATATATATATATATATATATCTATATATATAAGAGATGTTAAAAAATTTCTTTCCAAAAGTAAGTATAACATAAGAAAATAATAAGCAAACTATATGTAAATCATAAGCAAAATATATGTAAATAATAAGCAAAATATGTTTGGTTTGAGGATTCAAACCTCACCGAGGAGCTTAGTTTGAAGAGTCTAATTTCATCATGATCCAAAGTAGTAAAAATGTCAGAATAAATGTCAATATATTTGTCATTCTGTTTTTTCTCTCTGTTTTCTCTCTTTAGATATGGGAAATGAGCAGACCAACGGAGGAGTTGACGAGTCTCCCGATCACAGTGAGAGATTCATCATCGTTTTTTCCTATTAGGCCTACTAAGCTTATAGCTTTGGTCTTTGAATTTCTTTGTGTTTGTGTCTTTAGCTATGTTCTCTTTGTACATCTAGAAGAATCTCTATTTAGGATCAAGCAGGCTGGATTGTTTTATACATTACCTATGGAATTTTTCTCGTGGAAATTTATCTCAGAGTTCTAAAAATCTCACTATTATAAATAAAATTTTGATGTTGGGTACAATTTATATTTCTCATAATTTTCATTTTTATGGGGACAATTGTACACTACTGTTTTTCCGCTTAGAAGTTAAGTTTAAAAGACGTGAGAAAGAAAAAATGTTTAACTAAATAACAATGTGCATTTTATTAGTTTAGATTTAGTTTATAAAATGCCATATTTAAAGATTATACATGCAATATCAAATTCCACAAGAGTTTGCCCCTGGACCACCATAGCTAATATAGTAACCAAGTCGCTCATATATAAATCTCCTACCAATTTTCAATCTATAACATTTATTGTTATCTAGCAACATCTCTATAGGAAATTGATTCATTTTACGCTGCACATAGTCAGAATCCACGACTTCAATATTTGCAAAAATTGCTGAATCTTTGGGACGATTAGTCGGAAATTTACCATTACCCAACGGAGGACTTGAACCAGAACGTGAAGCATGAACCACACCTCCAACTCCAACCATACTTCCACCATTATCTAAAAGGTTGAATAACTCTTTTGGCCAATACCCAATATTTATGTTAGATCCATTTGGCATTATGAATTGGGAAAGCCACCAATTTCTTGTATTTTTATCCTTTTATATAAATTCAAAAACATAAAAAAATGTGTGTTAATATTAGAAAAATCATATATATACATACGGGAAAGGTATACAAATAATTTGATCTATCAGTTAATTTTGAATTCATAAATCGTTCAGTATGAAAGACCAAGAGAAAGAAAAAAAATTAGCGATGAACTTAAAAATTAGGAATTTACCTGATGGATAGAATAACGCAACCAACCGGCGATTCCTAGCGGAAGATCATTGGGTCCAACTATGGAAATATCGCTCGACATTTGAACAAACCTTGAGCATGCCATATTGTAACATCCTTTTCCATTTTTACCCTATCAAATCATATTTAATATTTTACACGTGATTTGATCAAGAGACTTCACGAGAAATAGTCATAACAAATAACTTCACCATAAATAAAATAGTTTGCATGCACACACCTGCCAAAATCCATAGTTCCAAACACGTCCATCGCCAAATAAACTTGGATTTATCTGGAAAAAAACTTGCAATACTTTAAAGCTGTATCTTAACCCCGATTATCAAAAATATGAATGGTATAAGAGAAAGAAAAAAATAAAATTAAAATATAATACATACCATGGAACCCGCTGAGATAAAATTGACTTGATTGTTCAGTCCACTGCCTATATATATTTGGTTATACCAGGCTTGATCTTTTCCAACGTTTATGCTATATGTATCAAACCGAGCTTCTACACCATGAAATGGACCATCACACGCTCTTACTCCAGCAATCTACCAAGAACCGTTTATATTAATGACTTATTACATCTAATATATCAAGTTTAACAAAATTGATGTATAAAGAATTTAGGAGAATTGAGATAAGTGCTTACATGGGTTCCAGGGCTATCGGCTGATAGCGGATGAAAATATTTTTTAGCAAAAAGTTGTGAGTTTGTGAGGAATTCTTTTGTATTTCTCAATATAGGAACAGTTCCATTTGGACAACCTATTTTCTTCATATATGTATTACTGTTGCCTGTTTGATTCTTGAATTCAGTTCTTGAAACTGTTGGTTTCATCTTTTAAATAGAAAAAAATATGGTCAAAATTTATTTGATTCATAATCATATTTTGTAAAAGCCAAAATGTAGGACACAAATTTTTAAAACTATGCACCTGAATTTTGTGGGTTTTAAGCAAGGGATGATTAAGTCCCGGTTGATTATAAATATCTATGCAATCGTAAGTTACATTTCCATTTATCTGCGAAGAACAAAACAGATTTATAACAAAAATAAGTAGACAGTATGAACTCAATCCATAATACATTCGTTTAAAGAAAAGAAAGCTTAAAATATTAGAAGGGATATATGTGTTTCAAGTTTTGTTTTAACACTGACCTTGAAGGATCTGATGGGCACTTTACTTTGATCGGAACAAACTATGGCTGTCGAGAACAAAAAAGTTAAGAGATTCATAACAAAGACCATCATAATTGTTGTTGACATTTTATTTGTTTTGTTGCCCCAAGAGCGAAGTGAAAGCACTTGCTAGTTTATATATACATATACGTATATATTAGAATGTTCATCAGCATTAAATTTGATACTGTTTGACTTTTATCTGAAAAAGGAACAGAAACATTTGACTGATGTTATTACGTGAATGAAGGCTACATACGAAAAGTAACGGGACTGTAAACAAAAATTATTGAAAGATGATTAAAGCTCAATCGTATATTTTGATAGTTTCTAACGTAAATTGGATATTAATGGATCATAGTACTTTGACTAGGGGAAAAAAAAACGTATTTTGTTGAAAATATGTTTCCGTTGGATATCTCTGATATGGATTATGGAATATGAAGTTGTGGGAATATTTTGACCAAACCATCTTTGACTTCTCACTGGGATGAGGTGTTTGATCCTTGAAAGTTGAAACCATCTTTTTTTTTGCGCAAAGAAAGTTGAAACCATCTTATTTCTTATTTTCTCTAAGAAAAACAAAAATCACTAATAAGTAGTAGAGGCCCACTAGAGGGCCCAGTTTCCTTGTTTTTCTTATAGCCTTTAGAGTTTAGATTTGAAGGGCCAACATTTTTATCACCGATGTAGTAGAATAAACGGCTGATACTGAATCGAATTTAGTGTTACTTTTACCAATGTGGATACTGAATCGAATTTAGTGTTACTTTTACCAATGTGCATAATAAACGGCTGATACTGAACCGAAGGTCAAAGTGCTAGATTGAACTCTGCCACGACGCCGTTTCGCTTATGACAAAGAAACACAGAGAATTGGGTTTAATAGCTTGTTTTATGAAAGTATAATATAAGCAAATAATAAGCAAAATATATTTGGTTTGAAGATTCAATCCTCATTGGGGGGGAGTGAGTTTGAGGAGTCCCACTTTCATCATGATCCAAAAAAGTCGAAATGTCAAATAAATGTCAAATTATATTTTGTCTCTCTGTTTTTTCTCTAGTCTCCCCGATAACAGTCAAAGATACATTGTTGTAGCGATTTTCAGCTGCACGATTGTTGTTCTTTTTATGTTTTTTCGTTACTTCATCATGGAGCATACGTTTCTTCTTAAAAACTTGATTACAAAGTCGATTTATCAAATAATGTATGTTTCTATTATTATTCTAGATAAGTAAGAAAAGTCATTTAATCATCAGGATGTAATACTAATAATGGTTTGAATACTTAGTTAAATTTAGCTTTGTTTATGTATGTCTCCTACTAAGAATTTTTAGATGTTGTCCTTCTCCTTGTAAATACATAAGAATGATAGAAATATTGAATTGTTTTGCTCATGCTGACTTGTAAACTGCACTTTTGATATGTATCGTGAATTGGTTTGAGGATGGTTTGAAAATTCAATCCTCATCACTGCTATACAGAACCAGAGCGAATATCTATTCAGTGGTGTAAAATGTAGATTGAAAAATGGATCAAGGTGATGAGGAAGGAATGGTGCAACACAGTCCTCCATTGGGCTCAAACGACAGTTCTGAAGGTAACAATGTGAAGTCAACAGAGTATGTGGCAATAGCAGAGGAAGTACCTGAAAGCGGCAATGACGATGAAAAAGAGAATGAGAAAGAGAAAAGCAAGGTGGAATCAGAGGGAAAGATGGAGTTCAGTGCCAAAAACAGGCTGAGGCAAAGAGTGACGAGGAACTCCGCTCTCTGCTAATTTAAACATCAATGTTGTTGAAGAAATGGTATTAGCTTTTGAATGTAAGTGGAGAGACCAAGCTTTTGATTAATTAGAGGGTTTAAGACTTGGCAGATGGTTTGTTTTTTTTGGTTCTGTGGTGATGTACTACATTCCTAACAATTTAGATCTTACTCTTATTCACTATCTCCCATCTACTATTTGATGGTCGATTATCCCCAGGAAAAAATATTTTGGTCTTTGAATTTCTCTGTGTTTGTGTCTTTAGCTATGTTCTCTTTGTACATTTAGAATCTCTATTTAGGATCACGCAGGCTGGATTGTTTTATACATTACCTGTGGAACTTGATCTCAAGAGTTCTAAAAAATCTCACTAATATGTATAAAAGACGTTAACCATGAGAAAGAAAAAAATGTTTAACAATTTGCACTTTATTAGTTTAGTTTTTGTTTATAAAATGCCATGTTTAAAGATTATACATATAATATCAAATTCCACAAGAATTTCCTCCCGGACCATCATAGCTAATATAGTAACCAAGTTTCTTATACATAAATCTCCTACCAATTCTCAATCCATAACATTTATTGTTATCTATCAACATCTCTATAGGAAATTGATTCATTTTACGCTGCACATAGTCCGAATCCACGACTTCGATATTTGCAAAAATTGTTGAATCCTTGGGACGACTAGTCGGAAATTTACCATTACCCAATGGAGGACTTGAACCAGAACGTGAAGCATGAACCACACCTCCAACTCCAACCATATTTGCACCATTATCTAAAAGGTTGAATAACTCTTTTGGCCAATACCCAATATTTATGTTAGGTCCATTTGGCATTATGAATTGGGAAAGCCACCAATTTCTTGTATTTTTATCCTTTTGTATAAATTGAAAAACATAAAAAAATGTGTGTTAATATTAGAAAAATCATATATATACATAAGGGAAAGGTATACAAATAATTGAATTTATTAGTTAATTACGAATTTTCAGTATGAAAAACCAAGAGAAAAATATTTAGCGACAAAAACTTAAAAATTAGGAATTTACCTGATGGATAGAATAACGCAGCCAACCAGGGATTCCTGGCTGAAGATCATTGGGTCCGACTATGGAAACATCGCGCGACACTTGAACAAACCCTGAGCATGCCATATTGTAACATCCTTTCCCATTTTTACCCTATCAAATCATATTTAATATTTTACACGTGATTTGATCAAGAGACTTCACCAGAAATAGTCATGACAAATAACTTCACCATAAGAAAATAGTTTGCATGCACACACACCTGCCAAAATCCATAGTTCCAAACACGTCCATCACCAAATATACTTGGATTTATCTGTAAAAAAACTAGCAATACTTTAAAGCTGTATCTTAACCTTAATTATCAAAAATATGAATGGTCTAAGAAAAAGAACAAAATGAATAAAATATAATACATACCATGGAACCGCTGAGATAAAATTGACCTGATTATTCAGTCCACTGCCTATATATATTTGGTTATATGAGGCTTGATCTTTTCCAACGTTTATGATATATGCATTAAACCGAGCTTCTACACCATGAAATGGACCATCACCCGCTCTTACTCCAGCAATCTACCAAGAACCGTTTATATTAATGACTTATTACATCTAATATATCAAGCTTAAAAAATTTGATGTATAAAGAATTTAGGAGAATTGAGATAAGTGCTTACATGGGTTCCAGGGCTATCGGCTGATAGCAGATGAAAGTACTTTTTGGCAAAATGTTGTGAGTTTGTGAGGAATTCTTTTGCATTTCTCAATATAGGAACAATTCCAATTGGACAACCTATTTTCTTCATATATGTATTATTGTTGCCGGTTTGATTCTTGAATTCAGTTCTTGAAACTGTTGGTTTCATCTTTTAAAAAGAAAAAAAAAATATAAAATTTATTTGATTCAAAATCATATTTTGTAAGAGCCAAAATGTAGAACACGAATCTTTAGAACTATATATACACCTGAATTTTGTGGGTTTTGAGCAAGGGATGATTAAGTCCCGGTTGATTATAAATATCAATGCAATCGTAAGTTACATTTCCATTTATCTGCAAAGAACAAAACAGATTTATAACAAAAAATAAGTAGACGATATGAACTCAATCCATAATATATTCTTTTGAAGAACAAAAAGCTTAAAAATAAAAGAAGGGATATATGTGTTTCAAGTTTTGTTTTAACACTGACCTTGAAGGATCTGATGGGCATTTACTTTGATCGGAACAAACTATGGCTGCCGAGAACAATAAAGTTAAGAGATTCATAACAAAGACCATCATAATTGTTGTAGACATGTTATTTGTTTTGTTTCCCCAAGAGTGAAAGCACTTTCTAGTTTATATATACACAAGTATTACAATGTTAATCAGCATTAAATTTGATACTGTTTGACTTTTATCTGATAAAGGAAACAGAAACATTTGACTGGTATTATTACGTGAATGAAGGCTACATACGAAAAGTAACGGGATGATACTGTAAACAAAAATTATGGAAAGATGATTAAAGCTCAATCGTATATTTTGATAGTTTCTAACGTAAATTGGATATAAATGGATCATAGTACTTTGACTAGGGGGGAAAAAACGTATTTTGTTGAAAATATGTTTCCGTTGGATATCTCTGATATGGATTATGGAATATGAAGTTGTGGGAATATTTTGACCAAACCATCTTTGACTTCTCACTGGGATGAGGTGTTTGATCCTTGAAAGTTGAAACCATCTTATTTCTTATTTTCTCTAAGAAAACAAAAATCACTAATAAGTAGTAGAGGCCCAATTTTCCTTGTTTTTCTTATAGCCAACATTTTATCATCGTGTTAGTGTAGGAACCGATGTAGCAGAATAAACGGCTGATATTGAATCGAATTTAGTTTTACTTTTACCAATGTGGAACCTGCCATAATCGAATTTAGTTTTACTTTGTTATAAGCGAAACGGCGTCGTGGCAGAGTTCACCTTGCTATTAAGGGCTTGACTGGTTTAACCGCTGCGGTTGCGGTTGCGGGTGCGGGAGTTTGCGGAAGCGGGCGGTTGTGATTAGTAGCGTTATTAAGCGGTTTGTACGACTGGCATAACAATTGAAAATGGATGCGTTTGCGGGATACTTATGACTGGTTCACTTGCGGATGCAATAGCGGTTAAACAATAAATTAATAATATAAACACATTATATAATTATAAAAATATCAAAACTATATTATAATGAAAATTTTAAATTTATGGTTCAACATAATTAAAAATATTTTTTTATAAAGAATAATATGTGTATAATACTTACGTCTATTTTTTAATTTCTATAATTTAAATAAAAATGTGATTTTATTTTCAAAATATATATTTAATGTGAAAATTAAATTTATATTACAATTTTATTTATTAGATATATATGTATTAGTATGAAAAGAATATTTATCAAGAGAATTTTGATTTGTAGAACTTATAAATATATAAGTATGATATGATTTTAATGAATATTGACTAAAAGTACTAATTTTTTATTTATATTGTGATTTTATTATCCAAATCTTATTTTTTAATAAAGATTATTATTTATTTTCGGATTTTATATAAGTTTGTGTTTTTTTTTTTTATTAAATTATAATAAACGGCGGATGAATTTTCAAACGGACTGTGCAGACTTGATAAAGATGATAGACAGACCGAAGGAGTGGCCGGCGTTTGCGAATCTACTTGACGAGGTGGAGAAATGTAAAAGGCAGTTCGAGGCGTTCTCCTTAACCCACATTCCAAGAACGAAGAACACAAAGGCAGACAAGTTAGCACGGAGTGCTCGAGATCAGCCTTACAATGTGTATTATATCAACTCAGTTCCACCGGTCTCGTTTCCCGAACCGCTGTAGGAGCTTAGGCTGTTGTCAAAAAAAAAAAAAAAAACAATTATCCACCCGCAGCCGCCCGCAACCGCAAACACTGCTGGGAAGGAGCTTTTGATTTTGAGGGTTGTTGAGGAATCTTGAGCGGTTTAAAACAGTATAAAACGTTTGTGGTGATTGTTGTCAAACGCCAATAACCGCTACTACCAGCGTTTGCGGGTAACAGCGGCGGGTGAACCAATCAATCAAGGTGTAATTTTCAAAGACTGCGAAGCTGGGGCCCACCTTCTTCTAGCCCAGCTAAGAATCTTGACAACCTCCGAGCCAAACCGAAATCTGCTTCGAAACAAGAGGCTCCATCGTCACTCTTCTAGATCAACAACTTCCTTGGAAAAAGACATTCCTCGGAACAGAATAGCAATGCTTTCACACTTGATTTAAGTCGCCAATCATATAATTCATATTCATAGGCCCAACAACGATCCTACGGCTCGATTAAGTGTGGTCCATACATACTCTATTATTATGAAAAAAAAAACTTTTAATAGAAACAGATTTAAATATTCCTACCTTAAATTTAAATCTCTCTCTCTCTTTCGACAAAACAAAAGAACTCTGTCTCTCTCTCTGTTTCTTCGTCTCTCTGTTTCTTGGTCTCGTCTCTCTGTTTCCGTGTTTGTCTCTCTGTTTCCGTGTTTTTCGTCTCTCTGTTTCTTCTTCACTCTGTTTCGTATCTCTCTGTTTCGTCTCTCTCTGTTTCGTCTCTCTGTTTCTTCGTCTCTCTCTTAGGTATGGGAAATGAGCAGCCCAACGGAGCAGTTGACGACTCTCCCGATTACAGTCAGAGGTTCATCGTTGTTGTGATTCTCAGCTCCACCATTGTTCTTCTTTATTTGTTTTTCCGTTACTGGATCATGAAGCATGTCATTCAGCGTCTCTGGCCTACAGAAGAACCTCCCCAACAAGCAATCACTGAAATCGAGCTGAGTCAAGTAGCAGCTCCAGAACCATAGAGTAATTTCTTCTCAATATGATCAAATAATGTCTGTTTCTGTTATTGTAGATAAGTAAGAAAAGTCATTTAATCATCAGAATGTAATATTGGTTTGGAATACTTTACTAAATTTAACTTTGTTTATGTATATCTCCTTCTAAGAATTTTTAGATTTTGTCCATCTCCTTGTAATTATTACATAAGTATATGATAGAACACAGTATATAAGTTTATGGCAAATTGAAACTCTATTGATTACTGGATGGAATATCATAAATTGAAGGGTCAATAGAAGGAAAAAGAGACGACATGAATCTTGAACTATCACTACGGACACACACACTTTTGTAAGAAAGATGGCATAAATAATGACTTGAAGGCAAGTGTGAATGTTTATTACATGAGACACAATACGTAGAGTAGTAAATTATTTGCTTTTTCAAGAAGATACAGTGGCTTTCTGAGCCTGCGATATGATTCTGAGCTTCTCGTATGAGTCAGCACAAGCGTGAGCATAATCAGACAGTGCCCTGAAGATCTCAGGCAATCTGATCTTCAAACTGTTTAGAGATTTCTCTCTCACTTGAACACAATGTCTCTGGTGAGCTTCTTCTTCCTCTTCAAGCCTTTTCTTCAGTGTCTCCACCACAATCCTCCTCTCCGTCACATGATCTTTGCTTGCGTTTGTTGCTCCGTCTTCCCCGAAGCCTTCAGCTTCCTCCGTCGGTCCTCTCTTCTGCAAGTGTTTCTGATACCATTCCTCAAAGCCTTGCTTCTTCCTTATAAACTCTCTCCGCGTCTCCTCGCATTTCTCCTTCAGTTTCATCTCTTCCTCCTGGTGAAGCAGTATCGTTTTGACGACCGCTGCGAAAGACGAGATGGCTGATTTCGCGACCTCGTCGGGAAGCTTCTCGAGACGGTCGTGCCACGAGTGGAGAAGAGCTTGGATTGGCGGTCGCTGAGGCATTGGAGGTGAAGAAACCTTCTCCTTGAGAGTGCTCTCGATGGGGATAAGGTTTAGCTTCAACCAGGTGTTGAGAGAGTTTATGTACTGCTTCTGGTGAGTCACGAGCCTATCGAACTGAACATGCCATTCTTCCAAGACGGTGCAGAACTGCCGCGTCTGCTGGTGATGCTGCTTTGTGGTTTCTTTCTGAGAAGTTGAGATTTCGAGTGATTTTAGCTCTCCGACAATCTTTAGTTGCGTGTCGTGCTGTATGCACATGTTTGTCCACATCTTCGCCATCCTACAAGTTGAGAAAATTGGTTAGAGAGAGGGCAAATGCTAATGCTTCGCAGAGAGAATCATTTGGTAAAGAGAGCTTACCCTTCAACTAGAGAGACGAGTCTTGGATACAATTGGTCATCTCTTAAACGGTTTACTTCTGAAACCGTTGAATCCATGGATTGCATGTCAACGATATATCTTGTGTGTAGATGACTCACTGCCGCTTTTGTTTTCTCTACGGTTTCTGCACTCGCGCCTCGTTTCTTGTGCCTGTTGAGTAAAGATACTTTCTTCTGATACTCTATCTTCATAAGCTCACCTTGCTATACAAAGAAACACCCACCAGAAAAAAAATGAATTCAACTAAGAATCTTCCTTTACTGTAAGGTAGAAAAGGTCAGCGTAAGTTGATTGATTACCTTGACTTCATCATAGAGTTTCTTCTCCCATGCTAACAGTTTGTCCAACACGGTCGCATGAGTTTCATGCTCATCTAGTTCTTGATCATCTTTTCCACCTTCACCATTGGATATGCCTCTTAACGATTTGTTCCATGTTATAACCCGCATTACCCTAGCAGAATGATCAACATACCCTGAAAAGAAAGTTTGTCAGGAAAGAGCATTCTTCATCATAAAAGAAAGTAACAATCATCCAAGAAACAGGCAAGTGTTAATTAGTCAAATCCAGAACTTTGTTTAATGGCTTTAAAGGGAAAGAAACAATTAAGAAAAACCACCAGATCTATTATTTAAGGTTCATATTGGATTCTCACAAAAGTTAAACAAATGTCAAAGTAGACAGACCAAAAAGTGCATGAAAGAATCTGATTTTTAGAATATTGCACACACTAGACCAAGATCCTATCCACAAAAGAAAAACAATCTCTTTCTTCAGGCTTTTGTTTTTTCTTTTCCATTGTTTCAATTAGAGAAACAAAGAACCAAGCTTTCTAAATCACACAGGTTATGAATCACCTAAAAAAGGCTGCAAGGAAAGTTTAGTCAAAGCCAAGGGAATATTTACTCATATGAACTGATCTTAAAATACCTTTCGAATAAGCTTAACCAGAGATCATTGAACTAGACTGTACTATACTACATTCGTGTCTTTGCAGAGTGAATTTTGGGTTGGAAAGTCATTAAGATTCACCAAATTGCAAGAATACACACACAAATGATTCAATCATAAGGATGCTTCAATCACAAAGCTATGAAGACCGAATCAGAGAGGAAAAAGGACTTGAATAATACCTCGGTTATCTGCAAAATTCGAGTGATAATGAAGCCTTGTGGCTTCGAGCATCTTGGAGACCTCTTGAGCGCACTCTGAGGCCTTGAGGAATCGATCATCAATCTCATCGAGAATCTTCATCAAATTGACACTTGATGCGGTGGTCTTGGTAACCGCACGCCGGAACTCCGGTGGAGCAGTGATCGAATGCTCAATCTTAGCTTTTCCTTTCTTTTTCTTCTTAGCTTCTGCCACCACTGCATCCTCTTCTTCCTCCTCTTCCTCTTCCTCCTCTTCTTCTTCATCTTCATCTTCCTCCTCCTCTTCATCTTCTTCTTCTTCTTCTTCAACTTCCTCCATTCTCTCCGGCGTTTTTGGCTCCATTTCCTTAGCAGCCTTATGGCCGGATTTCTTACGGAATATTCCAGATCTCTCCTCTTCTTCTTCTTCTTCCTCTTCCTCATTGAACTGAAAATGATGATTATTCTGATTCTGATACCCGTTTCCCATTTCTCTATCATCTAAGTTAGGTCCAGGCATATTCTCCACCATGAAAAAATAATCCCAGGCCATGCTATTCGCCGGCGACGCACTCACTATCTCCGGCGTCTCCGGTCGCTTTCTACCTTTCCCAACATTCTCCGGCGTCCGTGGAGAAGACTGTTCCTCCTCCTTACGGATAGTGGCTCTCGCACCGTCCTTCACTCCCTCCTCCTCTTCTTCTTCCTCTTCATCTTCATCTTCCTCCTCAATCGCCATGGAATCAACAGCCCGAAGCTTCCTACCTCTAACCGCCATGGTGGGCAAGCTAATAGCCCGCTTAATCGGAGAAGGAGAGAATTTGGGGAGAGGAGGAGGCGGAGGAGGGAGGTTCTCAATAGGCGGAGGCGGAGGAGGCTGAGGAGCGGGATCCGCAGTACGGTCACTCTGGTGCTGGAAATGGCTTTGATCCAAGACGTCTAGAGTTTGATCGGATTCGCCATGGCCATAGTCACTGAGAGCAGCGCCAGTGTTCTTCAGAGCAATGGCGTAGGCGAAATGACCGGCGGCGAAAGCTTTGCTGGCCGCAACCGCTTCCTTGATGACGTTTCGCCGCTCCTTGCATCTCGCCACGGCCTCTTCGTTATCAACCCTAGATTGCGCACACCCCATTGTACCCCAGAAGAGAGATTTTTCTGAGAGAAAAGTGAGAAATGAAAAGAGAGTACTGACAATGAGGGACAAAGATGCACAGCGAGGGAAGAGAGAGAGAGAGTGTCTACTGATTTTTCCCACGCGCCGAGTGTGGAGATATTATCTGTACTCGCTCTCTCACGCTATAGTGGTGTCTTCTCTAACGGTCACATATCTCAACGCGCTACGGCGTCGTTTTTACACTCTTTTTTTTTTCTTTTTGAGTTTTTGGATCTTCTTTTTTACACGTAACGTTTTGTATCTATTCAATCACACGATGGAAAAAGGTTCTCCTTTTTTGTTTTGGTTTCCTTTTTAGAATCATAACACTTTGAGATATTTCTTCTACAAGGGAGTTTCAACACTTTGATTTACAATCTGAGCCCAACTTTACAAAGAATTGGATTTCTACACCAACCAAAACGAAAGTGATTTCTTCGTCCCTTTGGAAACCACAAGTGAATCAGATGTTCCTAAACAGCAATGAGAGTTGGTTGCAGCATCATGTTCTTAGTGTGATATTAGTACCTCAACTAAAACCAAAAAAAATCTCCTGATTGTTCTGTGTGTACTCCTTCTCATGTACATGTCCTGATGCTTCAACACAAGAACAGACTCTTAACACTTGCTTTTTCAAATGATAGCCATAGCTTCTCAGGTTTTTTTTATTACTTACAATAGAACACAACGAGATGATGCTGAAACTAGGCAAGTTTTGGCCTGAACATTATCCGCAACTTCCTCCTCTCCTCCATTTGTCGCTACAAAAAGATAAATATTATCTTGTTCAAACTAAATAGAGTCAAATAAAGTAGATTGAATTGCTATGAAACAGATAACATTAAGAAAAGAAAGAATGATCTTTTCAAGAGAAAACAAACTAAGACAACGGAACTACATTCAGTATCCTACTACGTATCTTATTAGTACTGTAGCTCTAAACAAACTTAACTTATATAATTAACCCGACTCAAGACAAATCAATTATAAGTTTAACCACTGCCTGATGGCTAGAGAATAAAAGGAAGAGTAAGGTGTCTTTGTAATACACTGTCATAGCCTGGAGATTTATCCAGAAATATGAAGAATTCTTTTTCATATGAAACAGTGATCAATGCTTACCTCAAAAATCCTTTTGCAAGCCAGCTCGAATCTGTCTCGGTGCAGGCGCCATTCCATGCCCATATCAAACTCAATGGTGTTACGTTGAGCACAGTGTGATGTAGCCACGGCATTTCTCTGGAAAATATTAACGACAAAGGTTTGCGTAAGGAGCAGTGCCTGTTTAATCTTACGTGTTTTAGGAGGACTACTAAGCAAACAATACCATCTCTCGTCGGATTTGAATTCTGGGTTTAATATGGCCAGGGAACCGAAATCGAGGCATCTCTGGAGGATTCACCTTAGCAGAAGTAGCAACAAGTGTCCTGTCCAGTAGAAAAAGATTAAAGTTCTTAATTCAATAATTCATATACGCAACTAAGCTTTAATCGCCCAGAACAGATATATGAGCTGTGAAGCCAAATGGAAATAAGCATAAGAAGTTTGTACGTTTCAAATTCAAAGTATTATGTTTCTGGTATATATATGCAAATTAGTGGCCAAGTCACTTATGGTTCTCTTTGGCATTATCACATTTAGAAATGTATTTGACGCCAAGAGAAAAGAGGAATATCTCATGTAAAGCCTACCTTCCATTTGATAGCAACAAGCATCCCTCATCTAGTCTTTTAATGACCCTTTTCGCAGCATCCGCTGTCTTGAATATCACCAAAGCTTCACCTGGATAACAGCCAAAATGAGATGCCATAGTAAGGCTCCTTATTCCAGTAGTAGATTTACACGAGCATAATCAAAAGGGCAGAGACTTTCTATTGTCAATTTATGTCGGCCACCATCGCTTACAACCAAAGTGAATAGCATCTTAACCGTTGTGATGCTAGTATAATGGTATACTTACCAAGATGAGGAATAGTAATTGACGTCCGCTCTATCATCCTCGCCGTGCATTGCTCATTCAAAGCAGAGTAGACTATGTTCTGAAGCACAATTCATAAGTTTTTTAGATAATGGTTTACATGAAAGGTACACCAGCAAAAAGCTACACTGCACAGCTTGGGCGATGATGATTACATTAGTTACGGAATAGAAAAACAAATCTCAAAAGTGGATAATATGGTACCTCCACTTCACTAGATGTACAAGTAGGATCCAAGTTTTGAAGGAGAACCAGAGTCCCTCGCCCCTCTGCACTCCCCAAGTCTTCTTCCCACGTCTGGTTATGATTTAAAAGTCAGTGCAGATGGCAAATAACTGATATTTGTATTTACAGAATCTGATAACCACCCAAACTAAAAGAGACTGCAATGGCCAGCCATAAAATGAATGGATCGATACAAAAATTTAAGTTGAAGGTATCAAAGAAGCAACTTAGCTAATTCAGAGAGTGAAAATGATCACAGATGAAAATACTTTCTATCTAGCTTACAAGTTATAACATCTCACTACGGCATGTCAAGCACAATAATGTGGTAAAGAAGGGAGAAATACTTACAGGATTTCGGTACCATTTGCTTTGTTCCTACGATCAAGAAAAGGGAAACAAAAAAACTGTTAGAGGAACATCCATGTCTACAAGCACTTTGGTAACAAGTATTGGCAGATATAATATGACAGAACATCGCTAAAACACACAGAGAGGACTGACTGACAAAAATAGCATTTGTTTGAAGTTAAATTTGCTGCACAATCCCACTTTTCTTATATAAGGAAGTAACAACCTACTCTGAGTGAAATTTAAGCATCAAATCTAGACCAACGTCATTCAAATTATACGCTATTCAAAATTCGTTCACTTACAACGTGCGGCTTTTGGGTCACGTCAAAGACTCCATAATCTCTTCTGTAATTGGCATCGGAAAGCCTCTTCTCCTCGGTGTGTTTTGATACTGCAACAGAACCATCTAGCTTCCGTTTCTTTCGAGGCAAGTCCTCCAAACAGTAAGAATCCCTACTGCATCCTTCCTCTGCAAGCCTTGATTTTTGTTTGCGCAGTTGGTTTTCAACTTCGTTGTCTTGGTCTTTCTTTCCATTGCAATCGTTTCTCCTAGATCCAGAAGCGTTACGATTGTCAAGTTCACCATCACGCCGACCTGGATCCTTGTTAGACCTTTCTTCTGCAACTGCAGACTTTTTCCTAGCCAACTGTTTGTGAAAATCATTATCTTCTTCTTTCTTGTGACCATAATCGCTCTTCCTGTGACCATACAAATCTCTGGCGTTGCGTTCATTCTGCCTAACTGAACCACTAGTTGAAGGACGATTGGGTTTCAAACTATGTGCAGTCCCATGAACGCCGGTTGCCACTTTCTGTACAGCACTAGCTTTTTTCTCACAACTGGTTCTGTTAAAGATAAATTTAACTGCAACAATTAGAGCGAAATGAAGATATGAGGTAAATAAAGAGTCAGGATAGCTATCAACCACATAATTGAATACGAAAGGGATGAACTGAAACAAAACAAAATGTACCATCAACTCCAGCAATTTTATCATCTATCTTTTCCAAGATTTTGGAATTTTGAACATCAAATGTTCGGTGGAAAACGAAGTCGGCCAGCTTGATTTCTTCAGATGAAGGTTGCGGATTTCTTTTGTCCTTTGAGATGCATTGAACATTGCATTTTCCACAAATTGCTTCCTAGTGCAATAATGTTATATCAATACAGTAGTAAGAGCCTTTTTAAAACCAATACAGTAATGACTCATCATGAAATGAGATGCAATCATCAACTAAAAACACCATAAGTTTGACAAGGAATATGCAGGGACCAAAATTTATAATAACAAAAGGAAAAATTTGAGTTACCAATTGGTTTGCATTGGTGAGGCCAACACCTGAACCCGAAGCCAGAAACAGTTCGTTCGGAAGTACATCTTGAACTCTTTGAAGATACCTCGAAAGCTCAGAAGGTTTGAAAAACCAGAGTAGCTCGACATTCCTTGGATTTTGACGCTGATCAGTGTGCTCCCACATTTTTATGATCTTGCCAACAAAGAACTCTGGAGAGTCTGGTTTACTAGCAACGCCAAGCAAGACACAGTCATAAAGAGAGTATTCAGAACCATCATAGGTGAAAGATTCATAGAACTGGACATCCTTGTTCTCTACACCGTTTCCTCTCTTTTTACCCCACTTAAATCCAAAGCCATCAACTTCTGCCGACTTTTCCATCCTCTATGGACCAGGTTTCTCCTGGAAATTGCAGCAGAAAGAAAAGAGCCCCCAAATCAGCATTGCATATGTAAGTGAAGTGACTAAATTCAAGATCCACTGGTGAAAAATGCAAAATGCTTGATTCATCTTCAATAAGCTAAACAAATGCAGAAAAACAAGCCAATACCATCATTGCAACGCTACGACACTCAAAAACAAAAGGTCATAAAAAATAAACAGTTCTAAAATTCAGAGGATGAGAATATCAATTTGAAGGAGACAGAAAAAAAAATAAAATAAAGATGAATAATGCATAATAATCACAAGCGTCTTCACGAAGAACATGAACATATGCAATTCTATGCAATTCCAGAAAGTCGCGAAACCCGAGGCAAAATCAACACAGAGTACAGTAGTCGATAATCAAGCTCATGGCAACGAAACGCAAATGAAATCCTACGATTTGTCACTTTATAATTAGCATCCATCAACTAAGCAACCGATCATGAGCAGTTTCCGTCAAACCAATTTTTTTCTCCCGCGCCGAAAAAAAAAAAACATTAAAACGAAAAATGAGCAGCGAAGATAGAAACCCAAACCTCGGGAAACAGAACAATGGGAATTCAAAAGGCACGGCAATGTACGAGAGAAAAGAGACGGCGAAACGGGAAATTTACACTTTCCCGGCGATCGCACGGAGAAAAACCCTAAGTCCTCCGTTCTCACTCGCTCGCTCTCCGGTTACACCCAAATTTCGGCCGAATAAATGTCTACAGAAGCAAAATCGTTCGCTATTTTACTTGTTTCCGCGCAGTTCCCGAGGAGAGAGTGTGGCCGAATGTATGGGAAAGGTTTCTCCACTTTCTCCACTCCTTTTCCTCTGAGCAAGCTTCTGCATGTTTGCCTGTTCAGATTACTTGCTAATCTTACTTAATTAAGGACTATCCCCAAAACATAATCTTTTACGAATAAGCCCTCGAAGATTAGGCTCAAGTTTTTATTTTGACCATACAAAGTTTACAAACCACTGTCACACCTTTCAAGTACCAAATAGTCTTTGATTGAGATCGTTTGGTGGTCAAACTACGTTTGAAATTGGATTTTGACTAGTTATTTTGTTTGTTCTAAAGACTTTATTTTATTTACCTCCTCATTTCCTTTACACATCAACTTCACAACATACCAACAATCAAGATTTTGTTCACAAATTGAGTGACACACGACTCATTTTCAAAATTCACATAAAAGAAACAACATAAATTCGGCAAAGAAAGAAGAAACATGTGTCAGCTACCAAAGTACTGTGTCTGAATTTATGTTTTCAGTCAAGCACGGATATGTGGTACTACGGTCTTGAGTATTATGAGATTACAAGCGAGCAAACAAAATTGGCTCTCTTTTATACATTTTCATATTAACCAAAAACAAGTGCTCCTAGTCGTGTTGATTGATTGGTGCATGAAAACTTCAAAACCCATTAAACATTACCCCACACAACTAACTATGAACTAGTTAATATAACTAACAAAAGATTAAGCTTAGAAATTCCAAAGCCAACTAGACAAAATTAAAAGATAATTAGTAAAAAACTCACCAAATAAATCTAGGTAGAACTTATGATGAGACTACGAGAAACCAGAATTAGATTGGTGATGCTTCTCTGGCTACAATGGAAAAATAAGAATTTGACGAGATTTAAATATCAGTTGAACTTTTTTTCTCGTTTTCTTGTCATTTAAAGACTATAACCTTAGTCAAAGATAAAATAATCTAATTAAATTATTCTAGTGGTTTTATTAGGAAAATATTCCACCAGATAAAGTTGGTGTAATTGTACTACTCTACTGATTTTAGTAGGAAAATATTACACCAAATAAGCTCGGCGATGATGCTTTTACAGCCATTAGAACCACAATACGATATAATTGCTCATAGTAAAACTTGCCGGATCAAATTGTGATCCGGGTAAAATGCGATAAACATGGGTTTAAACAGTTTGGCCCAAAAGGTCGGCTCTATAACATTTTTACTCTAGTTTTATTATATTTTCTTGAAAAACAACAAGAAGCAGAGCATATAAAGGACAGCTACGTAGAGTGAAAAAAAACACACACACACACACATATAAATGCCTTCATTCTTTGACTAATATGAATACCACGCACTATTATAAGTATATATTATATAGTATGTATATGTTCATAACTAAAACATCTCAAAAGATAGATTGTCTCGAACATCAGTACATAACCCACAATATAGAAAGTACATCTAGTAGTTGAACCACACAACATGGGTCTCCGGGAGGAAGTGGCAGACCGGAACGGTCCCTGGCTTCACCTTAAGGACTTTGAAGGCCAAGTGGTTTGGGTTCCAAGCCGAGGTGTTCTTGTGGCACACCGCAACTGCTTTAGCTCGCATCCCGTTCTCTCCTTCAAGAGGAACCGCGTAAACGGTCGTCATCATAGCCTTGTGGCAGTAGAACACCGCGAATGGATACTTCTCTTTGTGACAAACCACCGATTTGTCGTCTGACAACTTCTTTACCCCAGCCGCCGCGATTTTGTACTTCTGCATCGGTGCATTGTCCTTAGCCACCTGTAGTAAACCAAGTTTACATGGAACTAGTATGAGTGTAACCGAATTGTATACCAAACTGACTTCATGAATAAATTTTTAATCAACTATAACTTTTTGGCCGTATACCAAACTGAAATTCATAAATTATTTCTATTTTTAATTAACTAAAATTTGTTTGGCCTATATAGATGATGACAAGTAACTTTATTCGAATCGAATCCGTAGCGAATCCAAAGAGATAAAAAGAACCTGAAACTATGTTTTCATTTAGTTTGAATAAACCAATCGAAATATTTTATCACAAATATATAGTTAGCTATATACGGTAAATTAAACCTGTCTAACATAACCAAACAGAAATACCGATATTATAGCTTTTGTCTTTTAAAGTCAAACCTAAACACTAAACTTAAGCCTAAACCAAACCGTTAAAATGGAGATAAGTGTATTACCTCAGTGGAAACAGCCCGGACGCGATTGCCAAGTTTAGAAACGCTAAAATCGACCATTGACTCCAAAGACGTCGCGCAATACTTATCCTCTCCACCAACTCTTCTCGCTTCACACTCCTCAATCGTCTTCTTCATCATCTCCGCTTCTTCCGAACCGGGCTTCACTGAGAAAGTGTTCAAGATCTCGGAAAACTTCTCCGACCCAAACGGCACCGTTTCAGCCTCCCCACGAGGAAGGAACGCCGTTTTACCATCGTAACCGTCCTCCGCATTAAACCGGAGGCTCATAGCTTTTCCGGGAACCATGTCCTTCTCCAAGAAAAAGAGAGCCGCTTTGGGATCGTCGTGGAGCTGAGTCTCACTCGCTGCATACAAATACACAAAAGGGTTGGGTCCTGGTTTCACACCGACGTAAACAGGCCTTCCCTTGTGGCGCGTGTGCACTGTCACGCCGCCTTTACCCACTCCTACATCGGTCCTCTTCCCGGGTTTGCCCGTGTGGACGCCGACGCCTCCACCTGGACCTTTTCCGCCGCTAACGCTCACGTGTGTCCCTCCGCCAGACTTACCCTTTCCGGTGTCCACGTATACACCTCCTTTTCCGACGTTCACGGCGGTTCCTCCGCCGGGCTTACCTTTTCCGGCGTTAACATTCACGCCTCCTTTTCCTACTAGAACGTCGGTGCTTTTCATGTCGGTAAAATCTGCCGCAACAAATAATAAGGTAAGAAACATTTATTTGCTATTAACGTACAGACTCGCAAGTCACAAATAATGAGAGTAACCAATCAGAGCATGACACATGTCTTCAAATATTTCAACTCATTTTTAAGGTGAAAATAAGAAAAATGTAAAAAATACTAACCCATGTTTGTTTACTACACTTTTTTTATGGTCACCACTTATGTAACTGATTCTTTCATTTTCTTTTGTTTCTGTAGTATTATTATTTTTTGTTAACAGATTGTAAATATGAAATTGTAAAAACCATTGAGACTAGGAGATCATAATATAACTGTAGAACAACTTCTAATGAAAAAAAAAAAGATTTCTAACATAAGAAATAGTTGTGGAAGACTGGAAGAAAACGAATATAAAAAGTCGGTAGAGTAAACAAGTAATTTACCGGGAGTAGTAAATAGATGTCGGAGAGAGGTTGGTATGGGAGTGTTTGGTAACGCACTGTTCCAATAACGCTCCGGTGTCAAATCAGCTGCAATTGCCGTGACTGAAACAAGAAGACAGATCAAAGGAATACGAATCGCCATTTTTGGGAGTTATGATAGAAATGGGTTTGATGAATTTGAGGAGAAGAAGCGGGAGTGTACGTAGAATTTATAGTGAAAGGGTTTTAGTAGAAAGAGCTGAGGTTGAAGTTATGAGCATGGATATAGACGGCTACTACTTACCAATCTATTTGGGCCGATTAATTATAACATGACTCCCTAACCACCACTTGCCTTCTACTCCATTAATGCTCTTGTATCCATGTGTGGACATGTGTTTTTAATTTCACCTGTATTTTGTGTGTGTGTGTCTATGACGTTAAGTACGACATCGTTTTCTATGTATAATTGGGATATTATTGTCCTAGCCAAGCCATGAAAAGCAAACAATCACTTGTTTGGGGTGATTGGTTTTGAGTTAATTTTCCATGACTTGTGATTTTGTAATAGATCAAATTTGTATACTTCTATAGATCTCAATTGACAGTTTATGATCATAAAAATCTTGGAGTTTTAACATTCCGAACTCCAATTCTCACGCCATGCATATTGCCTAGTTATATTAAAGCACATTATGTGTTGACTATTCAAAGGCGTGATTGTTTCTATCTCTTTAGAAAAAGAAGAAAAAAAAAACTGTGCAGATCCTTCAAAATTAATCTGCCTCTTTTGACAAAGAAATTGAGATTTTTTTTCAGTACATCACTCACTCGTAAGGTATTTGAAGACGTAAATTTACTTAGAAAAAATCTCAGTCAATCTAAATTAGTTGGAGGTGCCCTTGAAAGGGATGCACAACCGCGCAAATGCATATTGTGACAAGATACAACAAGTACATTTCCTAATGATAAAAGAGTACAAGAGACGTCATTAAGCTAAACCTGCTCACGTGGATATTTCACTGGTGTTTGAAAAATGCCTATTTAATCAACGAAAATATCATAAAAACTTACTTCCAAGTATACATGTGTAATGCAGTGACCAATATTGTGCACACAAACATTAGCAGTCTACGAAAATATCATAATGCAAATCCTTACTCGTATTCTTTAAATATTACTTAAAAAGAATTGAATCTCTCAGTTGTTCTACCAACAATGAAGGATGATCTCCGGTATTGTTGCGAGGGTTCTTCAGTGTCATGTGGTGATGAATATTATTTATCTTCGATCGATAAAAAGTGTCAGAAGCAAACCGAAAGAGACGGTGATCAGGGTATGGTGATCTCTTAACTTTCGTGTAGACTTTTCAGAGAATGAGAAACTTAAAACGCACAACCAACTCATTTATGGCTTACCAATACATTCGTTTTCACTATTATATTCTGCTTAGTTATTTTTATTATCCATGGTTGGAGAATGAGTATACACTATACACCGATGTATTTAATGCTGTTGGTTCTAGTTCTAATAGTCTTTCATCATCCCATCAAAGAAGGCCGTGATTTTTGTTTTCCTTATTAGTTTTTCGTTTAGAATATTATAACATATGGAAACGCAGTTGCGCAAACATAAACATGAAAAATAATCGCAACGTTATACGTTATGCTTCCATCGCACTGAGAGATGGGAAACGATCGACAGTGATAGCCGGCGGCGGGAGAGAACATTTTTTAGCGGTGAAAAAGAAGAAGTTGGGCTTCAGATGTCTTGTGGCCCAAACCCATATGGCTAAACCGATTTCATTTTTTTTGTCAACAATTCAGCCGATTTCAAACATTATTTGTCGTTTACTAAGCAAGGATCGATTTGATTATAATAAAAGATCGTTTTTAGTAAGCAATATAAATACAGTTTACAAATAAAAGATCTCACGTTGGAATGAGGTTTTTGTTGTTGTTGTTGTTGTTGTTGTTATTCTAAGTTTTAATTAATGTTTGGATCTCACGTTGAAATATGCTTAGAGACAACTGGGTATAAACAAAAACAATATGTACTTACTATTCATTTTCATATCCAATATGTTTTTTTATTAATAGTATGGTCGGGAGTTGAATATTAGAAACCTTGGTAAATAGGCCCAAATTAATTTCTTGTATATATATATGTAGCTCTTGGAACTCAATTGTCAAAAATTGAAGTTTGTTTTGAATGAGAAATGTATGTCCAAAGTTTATTGTTTGAGAAGCACAAAATGGGCAAAGTAAATAATGGAGAAGTCTTGACAAGGATCAAAACCTTGAGACTATATTATGGGAAAGGTTAAAACTCAAGCTAAACCATACACATGCGCGTGGTGGGCTGAGTCGAGTGGACTCGGGCTCGGGTTTCGGTTTGAGTTTGGGTACGTGGACTTAAGTCTAATAACCCATCTTTCTTATCAAGTTTTGGTTTTGTAACTGATCACTACAAATATCTAAACTTGGTCAAAAAGTCTTTGAACAATTAATCTATAGATTAATGTGGTGTCCTTAATGACCATAATAAAATCTCCACTAATGCTCCAAGGAAAGGAGTTTCTACGTTGAAAACAAATGGCCATAAAAGAGGCATTTGTGTTCTTGAGAAATCATTCATACAACATGGAAAAACAATCTCTCACCTTCTTTTCTTCTTTATTTTTCGTCTTTCTCTTTTTTCCTTTTTTGGTCTGAGAGTACACACAAAATAAAGCGTTCGTTAGGCTTCTGATTTTGAGTGCTGCTAATCAGAAGAAGGTGTGGTTGTATCTTGGGATTCTGATTGCATCAAACCGTCACACTACGGGCAATTAAAGAATTAAGGAAAGAGTGTCTCGCCTCCACACAAATCATTCTTTGTTCATCATATTTTGGTATCAGTTGTTGTTTCTTAATTCTGTTTTATATCAATATATTTTCAATTATTCAGTTTTGCCATATTGCTGAAATGATGGTCTTACAGTCTTAATTCTTTAATTTTTCGTTATTAGGATAACGAAAAACTGATTAATTGTGAAGTTTTGATAAGAACATGAAAAGTGATAGTCTTTTATGTTTATTGGACTTAAATATTTCAAAACCGTTTTTGCTTTTAGATTGCACTAACGTTACTGATATCTATTTAAGTTTTTTTTAAGAGCAGGTGTTCATGTTCGTTTGATTGAACGGTTACAGGAGTTCATTCTGCGATTGAGACTAATTTTCTGCAAGTTAACCGAGTTGCATCTAGTTTTACACGTTGCACTTACGGTCTTTTGTTTTGCAGGAGATTTTGGATTATCTCTGTTGATATTATTTTCTGCAGTGATTGAGCTATTCGATCTAATGATTTCTGAAATTTACTTTAATTTCTTTGAACTGCTTTGTTTGGTCGACTGTTTAGGAGTTTTGTTCTTTTGATCTCTGCAGTCAATCTTCAACCTCCGTAGTATGGTCTATTGAAAATCTTGATTGTTGTTTGACTTAGTTCACTCGGTTTAAGTTCTGGTTTAAGTTCTGGTTTAATTCTGGTTATTTGACTATGATTGTTGTTAGTTATTCGGCAAAGTCTCGTATTGACTTTGTTTAAGAATTTCGTTGCTCATTTGTAGAACTTTAAACCTGAGCCGTGTTCAAATCTGGTTGCGAGCTTTATGTTGGCATAATTTATTGTTTTCCCAGAATGGTGATATTATAATAAGCAATTTGCTGTTGTCTTTTTCTGGAAAAATTATTTTTGATTGTTTTGCATGTACTTGCTAAGTACGTAGCTTACGTTGACGTATGCTTGCATTGAAATTAGAGTATTAATTTCTGAATTTGTATATTCATTTGAACTTCTAATTTTTTGGTATATTGTTCAGGTTTGCTTGTATGCGAATCAGATGGAAAGAAAAATATTAACATGAAAATGTTAAAATATTTTTTCGATGGCAACAAGTTTGGTGAGTTGACAACCCAAATTGGGAAGGGTCTGCCACCTTAAACTGTGTTTGCTAAGTGGATTGGAATTCTGATATTTATCGGAATATCCAAATCTTATTTATACCAAGTTGAGGTTGAAGTTTTATGGTTATAAATCTAGTGAGTCGACGCACCAAATTCAGTTTGGTAGTGGTCTACCACACATGATTGTACCATATATATTATGATGGTTATCAGATTGTATGTCAGTACCTTGTACTCTAAGCATACAAACTAATGCAAGACAAGAAAAGTAACTCAAGGAGAATAGCATATGTTTTTCTCTTGAGAATACTAAGCATTTGAACTTAGTTCAATGTTGAATCTTGATGTATGCAATGTCGGATAAAGTTCACATGTGCCACCACTCTATCTATTTTGATGGAAGTGTATATTTGCTAAGAAGCAAATATGTGACTTTGAAAAAAATCAAAGCATAGAAGATGGAAATTAAAATCCAACTTGGAAAACTATGAAAAAATAGTTATATGTGAAGTAGAATGCGAGTTTGATGAGAATTAAATGTATTTTTTTTAGAAAACATTTATTCTTTGGAAGACTGCTCGTTGTTCACTTAAATCTTATAGAGTTGCTGAATCAAAATTATGAACTCTTAAAAGATGATTATTGCTAAGTGGCATGTTTTGAGTTATCTCAAGAAATGTGGGGGAAAACATTGTTTACCACATAAAGTCATTGACAAAATGTCATATGAACTTTGAAAGGTAAAGTACATTTGTACAAATACCTAAAAGTGTGGGGGTGCATAGCAAAAGTTGCAATGCCACCCTAAAATGTTAAACAATTGATCTCAAATGGAGTAATCTTAATAGATTATATCTACTTGAATGACAACCTAGGATCCAATTAAAGGTGTGTCATGAGATCAAATTGTAAAATCATCAAGAGGAATGGGTTTAAAGCCTATGACTTAAGAGGAGTTTGATGGTAACCCTACCTAACTGATTGGAGATCCCATGAAATAGGTTCAAGGGGAAAACTAAGTCAAACTGAATCAACTAGCACTGGGAGACTCATGTCTCTACCCAGTTCCTAGGATGATGAACAGTGCTACCTGTATGGTGTAGAGGATAAGCTTTTGCTTTTAATGATTTGGGTCCATAACTTTGAAATATACATGGAGTAATGCAGGATACTCCTTTAAACAAAGTTAATGGCGAATCACCTTGTGAGTGTGAAATGGGGCCGTTTCTAGGAGAATAAATGAAAGGCTATATTCTCCAAGTTCACTCATGATTATCCAGCAAGTTCACGGCCAAAATGAACACAATAGAGAACCTGATTCTGTGAGAGAATGAAGCTGTGTTATAGCTATTGTCTCGGTTTACATCAAAGCCCGAGAGGTTCAAGACATCATGTTCACCTCTTGGTCGAGTAAATCCGATAGTTATAACAGTGATTTGGTTCAAGGCTGAAAAATGCTACCAACTCATATACAGTGGATTTTTCGCTTGTACTCTCAAAAGTCTTTTTTCGAGTCTTTTGTCTAGAGTCTTTCTATTCATGATTGTTGGAACTCAATATGTCAAAAATGAGTTGAATGAGAAATGTGTGTCCAAAGTTTGTTGTTTGAGAAGCACAAAATGGGCAAAGTAAATAATGGAGAAGTCTTGACAAGGATAAAAACCTTGAGAGTTGAGACTATATTATGGGAGAGGTTAAAACTTATGCTAAACCATACACACGCGCGTGGCGGGCTGAGTCGAGTGGGCTCGGGCTCGGGTTTCGGTTTGAGTTTGGGTACATGGACTTAAGTCTAATAACCCATCTTTCTTATCAAGTTTTGGTTTTGTAACTGATCACTACAAATATCTAAACTTGGTCAGAAAGTCTTTGAACAATTAATCTATAGATTAATGGTGGTGTCCTTTATGACCATAATAAAATCTCCACTAATGCTCCAAGGAAGGGAGTTTCTACGTTGAAACAAATGGCCATAAAAGAGGCATTTGTGTTCTTGAGAAATCATTCACACAACATGGAAAAACAATCTCTCACCTTCTTTTCTTCTTTATTTTTCATTTTTCTCTTTTTGCCTTTTTTGGTCTGAGAGTACACACAGAACAAAGCGTTCGTTAGGCTTCTGATTTTGAGTGCTGCTAATCAGAAGAAGGTGTGGTTGTATCTTGGGATTCTGATTGCATCAAACCGTCACACTACGGGCAATTAAAGAATTAAGGAAAGAGTGTCTCGCCTCCACACAAACCATTCTTTGTTCATCATATTTTTGGTATCAGTTGTTGTTTCTTAATTCTGTTTTATATCAATATATTTTCAATTATTCAGTTTTGCCATATTTCTGAAATGATGGTCTTACAGTAGCTAGGGTTTTCGGCGCCACACAGCACAGCAGCAATCATGAAGAGGGATCGTAGATGCTCTACTCGTCTTCATAGTCTTAGAAATATAAGACGGGTGGAGAACAATCCCTGGGTTCTGGGTATCAACAAGCCCCCATACACTCGTCGAAAATTACGGGCTCGTCTTCGTCAGTTGGAGGACTCTTATGATGTTCATTCTCAGGTCATACAATCTACTTTCTTTTCATACCTTTAATTGCAAATTGATAAATTTCTGTCATCTATATATTATTCATTGATCTGATTCTTAATTCTAGCAGGAACCGGAAGAGTTGTTGACTGATGTTGCTACTACCTCCATCTCCATGCCAGATCAGTCGCCACCATCAAGGTGTCCATTTACTTTGATTAGATCTCTCTATATGTGTGTGTGTAACTGTGTATATATATGGGTTTTAACATTCCGAACTTCAAATCTCACCCTATGTAAAGCACATTATGTGTTAACTATTCAAAGGCGTCATTGTTTCCCTTTATCTCCTTTAGAAAAAGAAAAATAAAGCTGTGCATATCCTCCACATAATAAAGATGTAACCAGTTATCCATCTTTTTTTACACTCTTTGCAATTTCCGATATTGGATTTCGACTCCTCAAAACAGATGCACCACCTAACTTTGTCGTTTGTAAAATGCAATAGTTCTCATCGCCAATGTTGAAGTTCATGTAGAGCTTTTATGACTTGCACAGTTGTCGCCGCAAAGTTTTTTACGTTTTTTATTTTTTTTTTTTTTGGCCATGGGACTGTACGTTTTAATAGGCTTTTCATTTTTGATTAACTCAACTATGTAAAACCTAAACATTTTCATTTTAAAAGAATATTTACATTCTTAGCAAAAAAAAAAAAAGGTAACATGTTGAAAATATGGGTTTCTTCACATGATTAAGGGAAACAAATAAAATAAAGTGTGTCGCGCGGGTTATAGTATGATCTGGAGTTGAAAATTAGAAACCTTGGTACGTAAACAGGCCCAAATTAATTTCTTGTATATATATATGTAGCTAGGGTTTCCGGCGTCACACAGCACAGCAGCAATCATGAAGATAGATCCTAAACGCTCTTTTCGTCCTCATACTATGAGAAATATAATACGGGTAAAGAACAATCCATGGCTTCGCGGTATCAACAGGCCCCCATACACTCGTCAGAAATTACGGGCTCGTCTTCGTCAGTTGGAGGAGTCTTATGGAGTTGATTCTCAGGTTATACAATCTACTTTCTTTTCATACCTTTTAATTGCAAAATCTATACAATTGATAAATTTCTGTCATCTATATATTATTCATTGATCTGATTCTTAATTATAACAGGAACCGGAAGAGTTGTTGTCTGATGTTGCTACTACCTCCATCTCCATGCCTGATCAGTCGCCACCATCAAGGTGTCCATTTACTTTGATTAGATCTCTTTAGCTAACTAATTTTACTTTGATTAGATCTCTTTGAGAGGATGGTGATTGTAGTTTTTGTTGTTGATGCTCATACACAGATTGGCCTCACAGTCAGCTGGCATCAAGAAAGAATTAGGCTCTAAAGCTTCACTGCGAGTTTGTTCTGCCCGTATGGAAGAAAACCCATCAGATGATAATCTGAAGGGATCGGATCAGTATCAGGAGGCCACGCCTGACTCTGTTAAATTTGCTACTCAGGTTATATTATCTACTTTTTTTATATTTAGACCTTTCATTGCAAATCGCAGTTGATAACTTTCTGTCTATTATTTACTATTAGTTTGATTCTTAATTATAATTTTTATTACAGGAAGAGCTGTCGTCTCATGTTACTACTACCTCTATGCTTGACCAAGGTGTCTATTTACTTTGATTAGATATCTCTATGGCTAAAGTGTGTGTATATATATGAGTATGGTGATGGTTGTTGAATGTTTGTTCACGTGACACAGCAGAGTTATAAGCATCTCCGATCAAGTTCAAAGATGCGATTCCTCCACCACAAGCGCAATGCTTTAGAAAAGAAGAAAAAAGAAAGATGAATATGATCAAGCGCAATGTCCACCACCTACTTAATTAAGTCAGCAAATCTTATTTATCCCTCGGGAAAATAATGTTATCAAATATTTTGTAATTTGAAAACACTTGCAATGCGTTAGTTATGTCTTGAAAAAACGTATGTTATATTGTGTGGTTTTGAGAAATCTTTGTCTTAATATGTTATTTGCATAAAAAATATTTTCTGCTAGTTGATACTTGATACTCCGCCATTCTCAGTGTATCACTTAGTAATTATTTGTGGACGTCGTCAAAAGTATGTAGCCAACGAACTTGAATTAAAATGATAAACCCTTTCGCATTTTTTCTTCTTCGATATTCCCAAACAAAGAAAAGAATTCCCCTTGCATAAACTATGGTTTATTAATTTTAGGAAATAGTTGAGCAAAATTTTAAATTTCAGATTGATTGTTTCAATCACGTTTAATGTTTTAACAACAAGAATCGATCACAATGTTTTTTATCTCAGTCACTGTGATACGTCGACAGAAACTCACACAACCCCAGTCCGCTTCTTCTCTTCTCTGCTCTTTCTCCTTGTTCCTGCTAAATTTCAGGTTTGTTTTCACTCTAGCTCATGTGATTCTCGTCTGTTTTACTTGGATCTGTTTCCTTGATTCATTTTGCTTTGTAACTGATGTTTCTTGTCAAATTTTTACCTCAAAATTCTTTGTCGTAGCTACTAGAGCTTATCTCTCCCCAGCTAAGCTTTGTTGCAACTATGCTCTGGATTCCAGTTTCAATTTCGTTTTTGTTCTTCTTCTGGAGATGTAGAGATTGGGCTCGGGGATCTCCTTTCGAGATTAGGCATGTTTTAGTCGTGAGTTCTATGGTTTTACCAATGGCTGGACATGTTGTTTCTCTATCATTGTGCATTCGGCTGCGGATCCCCGACCGAACAAAGGCTTCACGTAGGAATATTGTGTTAATCCTGCTTGTTTATTGGTTTCTATCTCTAGGAATCCTTTTGGGGGTTGGGCAACATCACATGGAAACCATCAGGGGAAGGCCGGGAAGCTCGCAAACTTTCTGTTTCTACTCCCTGAGCGTATCTTTCTCGGGGAGAGTCTTCTTGCAAGTGTACTTGCTTGGGATTTTGATGGTGTTGCTGGCTCCTGTTGGGTCCCTATCGGTGACCAAGTTGTTGTACTGATGGCCGGTATATTCCTTGCATATATGGCTGGTGTAATCCCTGTTCAAAACGAACTTCAGAATCTTCTGGTAGGTAAGAGTAGTAGTCATTATAAAAATATCTCTGTTCCATTTCACTTTACACTGCACCATAGCTGTAAGGTATCGAATACAGCAAGTTGTTGTGTATTTACGCATCCCCTTTCTGACTTTAGGGAGACGGATTTTGAGATTGATTTGAAGTCTGTACTGGGATGTTTAATAAGGAAAGCTTTTAGATGCCTCCAAGCGTGAGAGTACACCTGAAAGCAGACTCCTCAAGGGAAGCCGCCACTGATTGTGTATGCAATATACCAACCCAATAGTACTTGCTCTGGTCATGTTTTCAGAAGAGGTAATCTTATACCTGCTTTCTCTAGTATCTCGTTTTGAACATTTTGAAAGAGGTTCCAATGATGTCTAGTTCAGGGGCATAACATATATCATCATTATCAAAAGTAGATTTATCTACCAAAAGAAGCACGTGCACTTTGAGCCAAGTAGTTACATCAGTGTCCGTGTTCTAGCGTAGCATATTCTACTACGCACGACCTGTGGCAAAAATTACTTGTGGCAAGAGCTTACTGATTCGTTTCATTGTTTCCTTCTTCTCTAATAATAATATCTGTGATTCTCTACCATTAGTAACATCCGAAATACTAATTTGCTGTGATTATCTAAACCTTGTGATCAGCTATTGTATTTGCTCTGCAGACAAATAAGACCTCTAGCACAATCGATTCGGATAAGTGGATGGTTAGTTTTACGGATATTGTCCGTCCGTTAAGCATATCAAGGAGCATGCACGGCTTGGCTAAAATAGGAGCTGTTTGTGGGAAACACTGATCCTGACAAAGAAGGTTAATATCATATATAGCATTTGGTGACTGCAAAATTGTTTTCTATTTTGTTTCTTTCATTATTTGAATACCAGATTTGAAATGAACTCCGGAATCTACCCCGTGATGAGCAGGGGATAACCCTTTGCTGATCAAAATGCTAATTCTGATAGACACTAGAAGGGTTGAGCTGGCACGAAGCTGCTGACTTGGCAGCCTGTGATTAGCTGCAAAAAAATACGATATAGAATGCATTGTTCTCTTTTTTTCGATTATGCTTGATTTGGTTGCTAAGAGAAGACGCTATGAGTCTTTGGATCATGATCGATATGATTAGATTTAGATTGCCATGAGATCTGATCTGTGATTCATTGTTTCTCGAGAGTTATTCTGTAATTGGTGTTTTCTCATTGTAATGGAGTTTGATAAGGACTCAAGTCGATTTAGGGTTTAGGTTGTTAACAAATTCTTATATTTCCACTGTGTAGTGGCTGCTCCTTATGTTGTTCCGTATGGGTAACTTCTTAGCTTAGAAGTATGAATGTGACATAACATCCTGGATATGAAAGATGACCACTTTCAATTCTTCCTTTTTACAGCCCACCGTCAGGCTTTGAAAGACAGTTTAGGAAGGAACTCCCGGAGCTGAAAGAAGCCCCGTCGGAAAAGTATTCCATATGATTGTGAGACAAACATGTCGTCGTTGGTGTTATTATGAAAATGTCTCCCTGTGAAAGTAGTGGTTCTACATCTGCAGCATTACATGCTGGAATCCCGCAGGTTTGTTTTAGTTCCACAATCTTATAAAATCTTTGGACGTGTTTGTATGTAACTTGACATAAAATGGTAAAACTGCTACAAGGATCAGTATATTAGAATTAACTAGTACGGTTGATGAATTCTGTGTCAATAGATTCGACGTACAATGGTTCTTTAATCATGCCTGCTCTTTAGTTACGCTGCAGTAAACCTTAGTAGTCTTCTCATAAACCAAATTATTGTGCGCTGTTGGTTACGAATGATGATTACCGTTTTTGGGTCTCTTTTTCTTCAAGCTTTATCTTGCATCTTCTGGGTTAACAGACTAGTTTTGGTGTGACTACAAAATGTGCATGTGTAGATCATATGCCCATTTATGTTGGATCAGTTCTATTGGACAGAAAAGATGTATTGGCTTGGTGTTGCTCCTCAACCATTGAAAAGAAACCACATGCTTCTGGAGGAAACAAATGATGAGAACATCATGGAAGCTTCACAAGTGGTAGCAAAAGCCATTTACGATGCAGTGTCTAGAAAATCTAGAGCACGTGCCGTGGAAATCGCTGAAATATTATATCTTGAGGTAACTGGTCACGATCAGCTTTTGATTTTTTTTCTCGTACTGATTCATCATGGCGCATAATCAAAAATCTTTTCTTCCACATGAAGTTTTTCGATGTAGCCTAGTCTTCTCTTTTCGTAGTTTGAGTAAATTTCTGGCAATTTCCAAAAGCAGCAGGATGGAGTCTCGGAAGCTGTGAAAGTGCTTAGAGAAGAGGTGTGTTGTGAAGTTTCAGGCAGCAATCGAATATTTGGATGAGCCTACTCATAGACAACGTTTAAAGCTTATATCAAAGTGATGGTGAGTTTAAAATTCATAATGTGTACTTTTTCTTTTTACTATTTAGTTGTTTTCCCTCTCGCAATTTTCTGTTCAAAGAACACCACAGCTCTTTATTGGATACGCACAATTTGTGCTTCTAACTGCAGAGGAAGTCCTGTTGGAGAACGTGGAACTGATCCTTGAAGCGTTCGAATATTTGCAGCGACCAATCGCGCGCTCTCAAGCAAGGTGATTATAATGGATTAAAGCTGTTTTTTTTTTTTTTTTTTTTTTTGAGTCCGTCAGCCTTCTCTATATGATGCTTTACTTTGTTTTCTCTGAATCAAATCCGTAAACCGTAATTATTCTTGCAGGAGTATAGGACATGTTGGGAATTTGAGCATTAAAATACCATGGAAGAAGCTTGGCGGGGATCCAATCACAATTACGCTTGAAGATGTCTTTGTATGTGCATCACAACGAAATGATCAAGAGGTGATTTGTCTGCCTATTAACCCTTTTTTTTTTCCTGTACATTGACAAGCCTTTATACTTAACTTCCTAATGTTTCCATGGCCATTGCAGTGGAGTTCAGATGTGGTTGAGAAAAGAGAGTTTGCTGGTAAGAAGGCTAAGCTTGCTGCTGCAGAATTGGCAAAATTATCCAGGCGTGTCTTTGGTGAGCAAAATACTTTCTGTCCTACACTGTGTAGTCTTGGATTCTGTTACATTGCACTAATTACTTAATCTCTAAAGATTGCTCTTATATAATATTTGGTCAGCTCCTTCAATATTTTTTTGTTTTTTCCAGATAGTCCAGCAGGGAATCCTTTTAGTAAGTCATATATTGCAGCCAAGGTGACATTATGTTCTGCAATGCTACCTTTAGTTTAAACATCTTACGTTTGTTACATTATCCTTAGTTTAAGCATCTTACAGTTTTGCATTATGTTTGGTCTGATGCTGTATTTTGTTTTTTGAGTAAGTTAAAATCTTCTTGCTTGTGGATGAGGTTATCAATCATATCTTCGCTTCTTTCTACTATATTAACTTTCCTTCTCTATTGGCTTAGATTCTTGATAGCATTCAACTATCCATCAGAAACTTCTCGGTAAGTCTCCTGCTTTTTCAGTGTACTTAGTTAAATATAGGTTGTAACTCTGTATTCTCCATTAGTAGGGAAACTTATATATACATCTATAATCTTAATGTAGTCTTGGTTTAGGCCTGAGGGCATAGTAATTATCATGGAGGATACAAATTTAGGTAGCATCAAGTTTGTGAGCTGGGTGAGGCTAAATTACTATCAGTCTATCTTGCGATTCACTAGAGTGATGATTTGAATTATCATTTGGTGTTGTCTTATTTCCCTTTTTCATATGTTTGTCTGTAAACTGCTGTGCAGGTACAAGTTGTATTAAGACTGCGGTTTTCAAGCTTGACACTTACTAAACAAAATCCAGTAAGGTAAAGGTCTTGATGCACCTTCAATGGCACTTAATAAAAAGTAGTACACTTCGTGTTTGCTTGAAGCTTTTCTTTACTCGTATGATAATGTTGTGTTTTAAATTTCATTCTGAGACAGCCAAGAGCATATCCCACTACACCCACCTACCTCTTTACTTGCTAATAAACCTCCCTTGAAGCCGGTTTCTTTCATGAACCAATTTTTTTGTTTGGTGAAGCCAAGATCTGCGGTTTATATGTACGCACCCTGAGATACCTTGACATGGCGATTATGTTGAATATCAGGTCATCAGTTGGTAGGATGAGGGGGCAAGTGAATAAACTTGTGGAAATCGAAGCTTTGGAAATTTATTGCGACATCTACGAGGGAAACATGGACTTTCTAAGTGTTGATAGAAGGAGGTTTTGACAACTGGTGCCAATCGAGATTGCAAAGCGATAAATTTGGTTATTTACTGAACCCAGTCTATGTTTGTGTAACACTATTGGTAATGGAGCGTTGTTTCTGTCCTTACCATCGAAGCTTTGTTGCATGGTTGCTCTATCTTTAGGTTTATATTAAAAATGAGGTGCACACAATTGTATGTTATATGATCTGCTGTAGCTAGTCTATTACTTCATTTACCTGATGGCCTAAAAGATTAGGATTAAGCTAATTGATCTTGTAGAAGCAAATCTTTTTGACTAAGCACACAGTTCGAGGATGAACTTATTTATTTGTTCCAGTAGTGCACTTTTGATGACATTCCTATCTATCAGTGTACCATGAGTGATTTGCATTGCATTTTGCCAATTCTAGTATTGTTCACCGTCACCTCCCATATTGACATTATATTTAGTGAAAGCTGTTTGCAGCTATCTGATCAAAGATCCAATATTTATACAGAACGAACATTGGTGTATGCTTGGTTGGATTTGTGTTCTGTGTGTAAATATGCATCCTTCATTTTGCCTGATGCACTTCTTTGCATAGGTCAATCGATCTGGAGAGCTTTATGCTGAGTATTCTATCAGCGCTGAGTTAACCGATGTGGTTTGTTCCCAAAAATTGCTAAACTAGGTTAAGAGCTAAGATTTATTTACAATTTCATTACTCGTTCTAACTTCCACTTATGCGTTTCAGGTCATGAGTCTGAATATATTTCAGTTGCAGCAGATTCTTATTCTGTTAGATTACTTGCAAACTAGCCAATTGCGTGAGAGGTAAGCCTTTTATTAGGGGTAGGATAGTTTTTCCTCCATTCAAACTTTTATTATTCTGAGATTTAGCTCTACTATATGACACTACGGAATGTTTTGAAGAACTCTTGATTTAAGAATGTATTGAATGGTTTAGGTATGGGCGGTATCGTCCCTGCTCCACTTCCTTATCGAGGAAACCTCCAGGATGGCAGAAACTTTGGTAGCATTATGTCCATTGCCCAAAATTCAGTTATACCTGATCTACGGAAAAAAATGTCGAAAACTTCATGGAGGTTTCTTGGACAGCGAATATAAGTTTACTTTCTTGACATCTTTTCCTTAATTAGATAATGTGATCATTAATCATATACCAGTTACAATTTTTCCAATGCTCTTAAAATTCTGCATAATTTACTTCCACGCAAATAGCTTATTGTTTCTTGGCATAAGTGGACAAATACTCCCGCAATATATTCAAGCAGTCTGCTTGGTTTTCAGATTTTTGTTTTGGAAATAATTACAGGAAAATGCGGAGGAGGTATATAAACTTTTAAAAGAAAAAGCTAGATTTCCTTCGCAGAGAACACAGGCAAGAATTTTCATGAGTTTGGTCAACTGGGTTTGTTCATTATGTGGCTCCTTGTCCTCCTATTTGTCTAGCTGTAGAAGATTGCCTAACCTAGCCTGTTGGATTCAGTGTAGAGCATAGAAATTCTCATCATCTTGTATATGATTTTGATAAATTAAGGAGCATATCATTACGTGACTTGTCATTTCTATTTGTTTTATCCTTTATTCTACTTCAACATGTATATAATGAATAGTGGTAAGGAGATGGTTTTTAGAAGACATTTCACATGATATAAGTCCATTAGGGAGCATATTATGAGGTAGTTCATCATATTTTTGTGTTCCAAGAATTAGTAGTGGTATGGAGATGATAATTTAATTTAACATATTTCAATAAGGGCTGGCATTCTATTGAAAATCTTATATCGTAAGCACGTGATTCCTTACATTTCAACTGTTAACTCTGTTTCATTTCATCGGTAGCCCTAACAGTGTAGGGGAATTTTCAAATTGTTGGAATGTTGGTATCAGAGGTAGAAGTTGCAGAATAATTGGTATACGTCTTTGGCTTCATCATATGATTCATACATTACAAACAAAGGAAATTGAAGAAATATTTTATTTTCTTTTTAACATTTATAAAATACTCTGCTTATCATCCTAAGAAATGTAGTTGTTATGAAATTGCTGACTGAAAGAAATACACATGTTCTCTTCCCTCTTTGTTGTCTTGCCTTGCCTTAGTCTCCATCACATGTTGCTAAGATGGTATGATAGGCATATTTGTTCGATTAATGCGTAGCCTTTTTAACTTGAAGATGAGTTGATGTAGCCTGTTTCTCCTGTAGCATTTTCGTGCCAATGTTTTCCTTGTCAAGTTGCTTCTGTGCTAATATAGGTTTCCTCTATGCCTCTGACTACAGTCATCGATGAGTCTATCTTTTGGGTTTGGAAGAAGTTGAGAACAAGACTAATATTAATGATATCTTAAGTTATAGGTCTGCAGCCAGTGCCGCTTATTTTAAAATTTTAACATGTAAAATTTGTGCAGATGAGGTTGATGAAGATTCACCCGTTCCAAGAAATTTCCCTTGTGGAGAAATCATCTTTACTTATCAACTTAGCTTCTTGCATAATCCCGGAGGAGTCAGTTTTAAAGCAGTTGGAGGTATTAAAATCTTCATCTCATATTCCGAGGTGGCTGTGTAGTTTAGCAGAGTTGATGAAAAACGTCATTGTTCCTTGTTGCTAAATGCTTGTGCTTTTATAGAGGCGTCAATAGCAGAAACCACATTTCTGGAACTTTTTTTTTTTTGTCATTCCACTCATTTCAGGTTGAAGCTACTCTGTCTGTGATCAATGTGCATTTCTCTCCGTCGATATTTGAAGAATGATGTCTGTGATTGAATATCTTGATATTCAGGGTCATGGAGATCGAAATGCTCCAGTTGACCCCGTTCCCATCTTTCCCTTCACCGTCGATACCAACTTGGTACTTTTCAGGTTGCACGTCAATCTTGAAAATGAAGGAGAAAATTAGCACACTGCTTGTTCTTTGAATGCAACAGCTGGATCTCTGGTAGGTAACTGTTGCAACGATAAAGGATCTCATTTTGTTACTTTTTACAGTATCAATGGAAAGTTAACCTTGAGATATTATACTAGCATGAATGCAGTGTTTCATTTGCTGTACATTTATAGCTACCACGGTGATGTCTGCTTGTTTTGCTCAGCAGTTGAATATGTTCATATGATTCTTATCATACACATATTTGGTCTTACGATCACAGCATGTGACTCATCTACTGATGCCCGTTGTCAAAACCACACTCATCCAATTGTATTCTACCACTGGGGGTTCTGACAAATTGTACTACATGGAAAGTAGATCTTGTGGCTGCATTCTTCTTGACAGATATCCATTTATGAACATTTACAATTCTGCATTATCCTCTGAATGAGCTTGCGTCCTCCAGAGGTCTTGGTCAGACCAGTCTCTTTACAGTTGATGTGCATTTTCATGATTCTTCAAGTGTTTTTGGAACTATTATGCTTCCAGTATCCACATACTTGTTTACCATTTCAGACGTTCATGTCGATTTGGTTGCTCTGCTGAAGACCTGATGCCGGAGTCATCTTTGTTCACCAACTATTCTGGCGGGTTTCTGTGGAGACATTCGCTATCAGATATCTCGCCGGTCTTCAACGTACGTGTAAGGAAGAGGAATTTGGAGCCTTCTGGTTCTGAAGTTGAAGTGAGTATTGGTTTTCAACAATCAACATTCCTGCTGTTATAAAGTTGAGATACTAGACTCCAGTGTGATTCTTCCTGTGGAAAATGATGACCACCGGCAGCTGAAAGCTAACATTTAACAGTTAGTTATATATAGCTTTATTCCAGATTTTTCACTGAGCAATGTGTTGCAGTACGTACAACAGGAATGTGCTTATGCCAGATAATCAAGTAGCAGGGCGAGCAGACTGGTTAAACATATTTGGGCTTATCGCTATCATTGCTGCTTTCTGAGAATGGCATATTAACTTCTAAGAAGGACGCTGTTTGCACTAGTATCACGCTGGCCGCTAGCATTATTGCTGACGCTTGGATTAAGTTACCTTGTGATCTCAATTCGTTATCTGATCTGACGTGTATTATGTCAAGCGTTGAAGTTTGTGAAATTGTTGCGGATGGTAGGTGGTCTTGCCCTTCATGTAAACTTTTGCGCCTTGGCTCCTGTTTCTATAGAGAGTACGTATTTTCAAGTGCTGCATACATGAATTTTCTTTGTAGATTCAGATGCCTTGGATGGGTTTAAGGCATTTCTTGATGTGATTGATCAGTTTTCTTTAGCTCGTGTCCGATGTTCCTCAGTTTCCTCATACGAAGTTGCGTCTAAAGGAAGAGCTGGCCGCTGCACCCCTTGAATCTTTCACTAGCTTTATAAAATTCAATTTTTTTTTACGACAAAACTGCATCGTTAAGGGAAGATCCTGAAACATTGCTATCTGAACCAGTGCTCCAGGCTGATGTCAAATTTGTTTGCTCTAGAGGACTTAAAAATAGTTTCCCTTTGAGCTTGGATATTCAATTTTTCGAAACTGGGCTTTATTCATTGCTGAGCTCAGTCATGTTAGCTTGATGCACCAATGCATATGGGGATCCTTGGGCACTTAAAGTCAGATTTGTGGGACAGGCTGCAAATGGATACGGTCTCAGTTTTTCTCTCCCATCCCTAGACATCTGGTTACACTCTTTTGATTGTGTTGAGGTTATTGAACTTCTTAAATCTTATGCCCAGAAACTGGAAGGAAGTAGTCCAGACCCTTTTTTGTGTGAAGGTTCAGACTTAGATATGCATGATTCTGTTGAAGTGGTACGGAATATTTGTGACAATACTGATCGCGTTTTGAATGTTCTACAATATGAGGAGGTATCAGAGAAATCTAGTGAGGGTATTGCATTTGCTGCAAGATCAGAGATTATTGGTGTCACAATCCATTTTTCTCTCTGCATAAGCCACTCACAATTTCCAGGGTTCATGGCAACTGATATTCATGAGAGATCTGAAGACGAACAAATAAAAACTTTTAAAGGGAAATACTGTAGATATGTTTCTGTTTCAGCAGTTAGTAGGAGCGGTGAACTCTCTGTTCTTGGGAGAGATGTTAAACTGAGCTATAAGATTGAAAAGCTCAATGGGATTCTTGCAATATCCGGGGTTGATACTGTCAGGTCTTGCCCACTATTTGGGGTATCACAACTACTTGTAGATACTAGTATTCATATGGATCAGAAGAAAATCATGAGCATCGACACAGGGATACTGTCTGACATCGTAGAGATGCATGCATCTCATCAAGTATTATCTTTCTGGCATGGGAGACGCGCCATCTTCACAAAATTCGCAAGGAAACATGAGTATAAAAGTCCAGATAAGAGATGTGTCTCTTCTTATATCAGAGGGAAGGGTATACTTCTGCTTTATATACTGATTTCTGCATGCTAATATAATGTTTTTATGAACGCACTACTTTGTTGATCTCACTTTTACGTTCATCAATGTTGCGTTTGCAGATAGTGTGCCTTGTACTGTATGTGTTCGTTCTTTGTGATCAGTGGATGTCGGCTTATGAATCTAATGCTACATGTTCGTATCTTTTCTTCACTGATGAAAAACTTAATTTGATGTGTGAGTTTTGGTTTGGTTTCAAATATATATCAAGGCAGGAAAAGGCAAAAAAAGTTGCAAATTGATATGTGGTCCATTGTCTAGAATATTTTTTTAGTTTTGATGTTGAGTGTCTAAGTATGTGTTGCTCCATGATTTTCAATATTCTCCTTGCCTATAGCTTTTGCATTTTATATGGGATACTTGAGCTTGAATTCTTAAGCTACTTCTGTTAAAGACTTCTCTCGTCTCTTATCTATCATGCAGCGGGGATGTAGCGGTCTGCTTCTTGAAGTTCTTATGAGAAACTTTCTGCTGCAAGCTAATCTGACCGCGAAGAAGTGAGGAGAGTTTGGTTTCATGTGATCTTGAAGTGAATTATAATAGTATGCACAAAGGTACATGCCAGAAGCAGAATTCTGCTGTCATTTTATCTGTTTTGGTAGTTGCTGATAACCACCCGTGGATATATGTCGAAGGTCTTGTGGGAGCCTTTTATTGAGCCCTGGAGTTTTGATATCAAATTATCCCGAAATTTTGATCTTCCGGGAAAGGTTCGTGCTACGACCTTAGCCTTGTTTGGCACTCACGGAGTTGCCATTTTCGAAGACTTCATTATAACTTTAGCAGATGGGTCGCTAGCATCCATCTAGACAGCAAGTTTTCAAATGAAATGAATAGTGGAGGACTAGATATCTGTAACCTTTTCTAGTAGAGCGCTCCAAAAACTACTTAATGAGGTAAAAAAATAACATCTTTTCTAGTAGACAGCGATCATCGATGTATGATGATCGCTTTGAAATCTACATTCTTCGGACTCAGGTTATCAACAATGTTCATGTCATATTTCGTTTCTAAATAAATAAACTGGATATTTAGATAAACGCTGCAGCTATATTTGAGACTGCATGAAGTGATGGAGACCATTCGAGGGCATGAAGTGAGTGCCAAGTACTCTGTGAGATTGCTGTAATGCTGTAGAGAGATCAGTTTGCTGTTTGATATTCAATAAAGATCAGTTTTCTGTTATTACTCTGTTTTCTCTTTACATGTTCTTTAACAAGTTAAATTATTTGTTGTAAGAACTCGTAGCCAAAGAATGAAACACATTGACAAATGCTAGGAAATCTCAAATCTCTTTGAAAATGATGATAAATTTGTTCATCAAGCTTGCAAAATTCCATGTCAACGATTCACAACTCATGTTAGTTTCCAGCAGATTCAATTTTTCTAGAGATTACGGCCACTTTTCACACACCAACCTAATTCTCCAAAATTCTCACAGACATGCCAAAATCACCACTGCCAAGTCAATAACAACAAAAGAGAATGTAATCAAGCGAGCAATAACAAGATATATGTCGCTGGAGTTAATAAGCCGTCTTTAAACGCAGCCCTCTGGTGGTTCAGTGTTGCATCCCCAGATGCACACTTCAACCCGAGAAGAGTTAGCTCCAAACAGTTCCAAGAACTTGCTGCGAACCTCTTCGAAAGTAAGAGCATCAAGACTTTTTCTTGCTTCTGAGAATAAATCCTCTGAGTACTCAGCTCTAATCACAAACTCCCCTATTCTAGATCCACAGTTGTCGTCCAAAATGTTCATTGCAGCTTCTTTGTGCTTATCAAAAGTCTGCCTATCAATCTAAACCAAAGTTCAATTTGATTAAAATCAATCAAATGATAGAATAAACACAATCAAATGTCACCATAATCTAAACCAAAGTCATACCTTGAAGGTATCGATGAAAGAGCATATCCTCTTTAGCAAATAATCTGGTCCATGTCGAGGAGAAATAACAGCAAGGCATATGCCTCTAATGCCTTGGGTTTGAATTTGGCAATCAGCATCATAGCACAGACTTTCTACAACGCTGGAGACAAGAGTTAAATTGTCAGCTAAAACAAACACCAAAGAAAAATCGCATAGCATTAAGAAAAATCGCATAGCATTAAGACAAACCTCAGCTGATGATAAAATCTTTTTTCCATCAAAGAGAAGAAGAATTGTACCAAGCCTATGCAAGGTATTTGATAGAATACCTGCACAAACAGAATAGTGAGAATTTGCATTCATTCTCTTGACAAGATTTTAGGATCTCAGATTCTTACCTTTGACAAAGAATTCACATCAGAGTCATTCCTCACTCTGGAGTCTATTCTTCTTCTGCCATTAGAAGGAAGAAGAGCCACCACGTTTCTACTAATGGTACAAGGATGTTTGTCCAACAAGTTTGCAACTATCTCAGCTTCCTCTCTTGATATCAACCCAAAAATAATCCCTTGTACATGCAGGTCAGAGAAGGAAATCCCAGAAGTGTACTTCTGTATGTCAGCAAAGCTGATTACATCAAGTGCCTTCTTCTCTTCCATTGACTCCATAAATAGTTGGTCAGCATGCTCCGTTAAATTTGTGGGATGTAAATCAACGAAAAGTTTCTCTTTGCTGACCTGAAATAGAGATGTTTAAAGAGATTGGTTTCAAAACTATATCAAAAAGATTATGCGAATTACACAAACAAACCTCAAACTGTTCAAGGGAAGGTTTGAAGGATTTCATATGGCCCCAAACTGTTGATATAAAGTGCTCAAACTAACTTGTTTCCATCAATGAGAGATATCCGAGTATCTATGTATGCCTCAGATCCCTGCATACAAAATACAAAATGAACTATTATGACCCAATTATCTTAAACAAAAGTAAGAGGATCAAGTGTTAAAACCGATTTACCTCAAACAGCAGGGGACTGAGGGAGTGCTCTAGTAATTCCAGGAAAACCTTGTTCATCAAACTGTCTACAGAAGGCATTGAGAAGCAGAAGTAGGCAGAAGATGTCGAAGCTGCATTGACATAGAAGATGTTGCCAATCTTCTTAACACTGTTGTCATCACCATTGTTGTCATCACCATCTTCTGCAATGTCACCATCTTCTGCAATGTAGTCATCACCATCTTCTGCACTGTCTTCGGATTTTTCATCAAAGCGCTCAAGGGTATAGCCCTTAGATGGCATTAACAAGTTTTCCTCCGGAAAACTAAAAGTTTCCTCCAAAACTTGTGTTTTGAACCCCATCCAAGCATCAACAAGAGATCTGTCGACTTCCACTTCTACATAAGAAGTCCCAAACCATGGTTCAATTTCTTGATCTGAATACAAAGAGAAGAAAACAAATAAGCATATATAGCATGGAAAATTGTGCACATATATAGCATTCAGAAAAATTATACCTTGTTCCTTCGGCAATTTCTTTACAACCCAGTAGATCGTCATATTTTCAGGGGTTAAATGCTTTAAAAAGTCATCGATCTCTTTCTGATCACATGTAGGATCAGAAAAAAAGAAAGACACCGCATGCTCATTTCCACAGAGGAGCATGTTAGCTGTTCAAACACATTTAAACAGTTAAATGAAACATTCAAAAATAATTTTAACAAACTGTATTCATTATGAAGTATGATGCAAACCTGAGACTCGATCAACAAACAATGATTGTGAGCTGATTAAATGGTCATCAATGTACAGAGATTCAAACTTCATCTCTAATAGATTCTTGTATTGCTCCATGAAATGTTGAGGAGGACTGTTCCTAGTAAGTAGACTTACATACTTATAGATGTAATCAACCAAGAGATATCCCTGTCATTTAACAAAATAAAATTATGTTTTATGACAAAGACATAAAATATGTATATACATAATATTAATTAGTACAGATTTTACCTGTTCCAAACCTTTGTTGGTGAGTTCCAAAGTAATTGTAATGAGTCTCCCTGCAGAGGTGAGACTTAGTAATGATAATGAGCTTTTCTCCTCTGTAAAAGCTGAGTGTGCACCAACACAAACAAAGAAGGATGTAATCCATTGGCGTTTCTTGAAAAAGAAGGACAATGATCCTTCATCCTCTGCAACACCAAGATTTAATTAAAATTCTAACAAAAGAGTGAAAGACTAATAGAACAGTTGGAGAATGTATGAATTAATTCACCTTGAGAGAACAGTTGAAGAAGGTATGATTCAGGCTTTTTCAAATAGGATATGGGAGGAGGAACTATCCAACGAATGACTAATCTCTGAGCATTCTCAACCGATTGAACTTTGTATGATCTACATACATCCCACGGTCGGCTAAATTCTGGTCTAGGCAGGGGTATACCTCCAGGAAGAGGACTAAAGAACTTCTTCACCCAACTCTCAAGTACATTTAAGCCCCCTGCAATTTAAAAAGACCATTTGAGATCAGAATAAGTTTTGAAGAGAAGATAATGAAAACAAATGAACATCAAAATCAGTTTTGAATCAGTCATTACTATGTCCTGAAACTACAAGCTTCATCGAAGGAGCTACGTAATGAGTCTTGAAAAAGGTTATCGCTGCATCTTTGAGTTCTGGAAGGTCAACGTTGCCTAGAGATTCTTTGTTGCCTTTGTGTCAAGAAAAACACATTTGTTAGCAAAATAAACGCAATAACACATTTCAGCAAAATCAAATTCATGTACTTACCCCCAGGAAATCTATTCAAGGGATGCTTGTCATAAGAACTAGAAGCCGTCAGTTGATCAATTCGGTCAGAATCTCTGTGCTTAGAGAGAAGAAATTCTGGAAAGAAGAAATGTAACTGTTAGAATCAGACGTGTATAGAACAAATACACTTTTGAAGTATGAAGATTGGTACCTGCGTCCATGACAAGGATCTCACGCTCCAAAATATCCGTTTCCATGAGAGGATTTATGAAAACATTGGCAAACCTGAAAATTAATATTTTGTTATCCGATTAACATGACAAGCATAATGAATTGAATTAATCTGACAACCATACCTTTTAAGAGCAACCTCTAGGAAATTTGAATCGACTTCAAAACTGAAGGTGGTGAAATCGAACTCTGTATGAGCATTGGCATCCCCATCATGCTTATTCAAGTAATCATCAAGCTGAAATAAGAAAGAAACAGTAAGAAGAAAAACAAGCTAATTAGAAATAGATTACATTAACGAATGAGGGAATTTGCTTACCTCTTTGAATTTTGTAGACCCACGAAACAGAATGTGTTCGATTAAGTGAGCTAGTCCGTGGATAACCGGAGGATCATCAAAGCTACCAGCTCTAACAGTTAGGGCTGCGGATGACTGCGTAGAGAACCCTACGTTGCTCAGTAGAAGAACCTCCAATCCATTTTCGAGGAAGAAGGATCTACGAGAATCTTCATCTCCATTTCCATCTTCTCCTTCCTCAGAATCTGAGAGTCTTCCTCTCTTTAAACGCCTATCTTCTTCTTCCTCAGAATCTGAGCGTTCTCCTCTCTTTAAACGCCTATCTTCTTCTTCCTCAGAATCTGAGCGTTCTCCTCTCTCTAAACCCCTATCTTCTTCTTTCTCAGAATCTGAGCGTTCTCCTCTCTTTAAACCCCTATCTTCTTCTTTCTCAGAATCTGAGCGTTCTCCTCTCTTTGAACCCCTATTTTCCATAACGCTCTTGAACAATGCGAATCGAAATCGAACAGAAAAGGAAAAACCCTAAACGCTCTTGAAGAATCCGAATCGAAATCGAACAGAAAAGGAGAAAACCCTTAACGCTTTTGGCAATTTCTCATTTATTGAATAGGGGTCCTCCAATTAAACTAAAAAACTAAAAAAAAACTGATTATTTACATGTGACATTCCTTCACCCTTTAAATTCAGAAATCTTAATAACATTCAATAAAGGTTGATTGATTGACTCTCAATAGAGGTTTAGGTTGATTTCCATATGACTGTTGTTTTGTTTGCCTTTGGTTTTTCATTGGATCAGTTTTTATAATTATTTTAAAATAGATTTCACGATGCTCTTTTGTTTTTTAATCGGAAGAGTATTTCATAGCCCTTATGTACTCACTTTGTAGTGTAGCTAATTTAGAAAAATGAACTTGAATTCTTGATTCCAACGTAGGTTAATATTTAGTTCCTAGTAGAGTTCATATTACAAGTATGATTCATATTTAAGATAGAGTTCCTATTGGAAGGAGAATACATATTTCAAGTAGAGTTCATATTTCAAATAGAATTCCTATTCCAAGTAGGATACATATTCTAAGTAGAGTAGAGTTTTTATTCCAAATAAGATTCATATTCCAAGTAGAGTTCGTATTTTTTATAACTTTCGCATCCTGTTAATGATGACTATGATCTAAAGCAAGCATGACAAAATAAAAAAACAATGCAATAAAATATGACTCGAAACAAAAGTACAAAATATAAACTAACATATGAGTAAAAGCAAAAGAAACAAATTTAAACTCATCACTTGGCAATCCTAAACTTCAATAGGAGCCTCTTACAATTATGACCAACTCTATGACATATAGAGCATGTGTATTCTTTACGAGGCCGTTTTTTATCTGTGGCTTTTTCCAATACTGATTTTATTCTTGAATTCTTTGGTCGACCTGGCGGATTGTGTACTATAGGAGGTGAACACACTTTAGAGGCGACATCTTCCGGAACAGGTGAAGTAGCATCCCTTGACATTATAGAAGTGGAGTATGTATTGTAAAAGTAGTTCTTGTGATAGTATGGATGGTGCGAGAAATTTTAATGCAAAATACTTTCATATAACCTATATCTGCATAATTAAAGTGACAATATCTCAGAAACGTTTAGAACAAAACAATTTTGAGACATCAATATGATTGATACTAAACTTCAACACACAGTTAACACTATATAGCCGAGAACTAATGTTCTTTCCTCAAAAATATGTTATCAACAGAGACTCTCTGTCTCACTCAGAAGGACTCAGTCCAGCCCCAACCATTGGAATGCTGCTGAAACCCACCTCTGCTTCTCCCTCTCCCTCTCCCATTCCTCCATCGACAATCCTCCACCCTGTCTCCTCCACGCGGCACTGCTCTCCTCTTTCTCCACTCTCTGCTCTCTCTTCCCTGATCCTTACAGTTCCAATTCTCAACCTTCTTGTTGTTGAAACTGTTGCTGTTCCTATGACTCCAAGCAGATTCGTTTCTGAAGTTGTTGTGACCCCAAGCTTCGTTTTTGAAGTTGTTGTGACCCCAAGGTTCGTTTTTGAAGCTGTTGTTGTTGTTGTGACCCCAAGCTTCGTTTTTGAAGCTGTTGTTGTTGTTGTTGAGATTCAAACCATAATCCCATCCATCACGTTTCTGATCATCAGATATAGGTTATAGATTTCCAAAAATGAAGACCAATGGATAGTGATGTGGGCTTTTAATGCAACAAAAGCCAACTCTAGAAGCCCATGTTTCTATTTCTAACCATGTACAGTATACTGTGTAACATCAAATGAAACAACGTTATGATTGCAATCATCTCGTGTTTTTTTTTTTCTGTTAATCATAAACCTTAACTTGACAGATGATGATTCCCTTTAAATTCAGAGATCTAAATAAACTAAAACGACTACTAACCAAATTTTGATCTAAATGACATAAAACAAGAATCGAATGCTAAAGTAGTCTCAATAGAATTAAAGAAAGAGAAAAAATCATAATAAAGCCATCTATCTGACAATTGTTTTACAAAAGATTAAAGTTAAAACTCAGAAAAACTCATAGACTTCATAGTTTTAATTATTAGCTTAAACCAGCTAATAGGGTTTTCTTGTAACGAGAAAATAAGTAAAAACAAAACTAATCGCCGGTCATATATGAGAAGCATATTGTTGAATATAAATTGACACCCATCTTAGTAATTAACGTCGTACCTATGCATTGAAAAAGATGGTGGTCAACTATCACTAAATTACACCTAGCTAGGAGAATTTTTATTTGTTTTGTCTAATGCCAAAAAAAAAAAAAAATGTGAGACAACATTACACGGAAATACAGGTGGATTTAGAGCAGATGGTACATTCTCTTTTCACAAAACAACAAAAAAATCACAAGACTGTCTAGTTTACACGGCTTAGCGACACAGACGACGCACAACAAGAATAGAAGTGTTAAACAATGAATGAACTATATGGGAACATTTGTTATCAACAACAAAATAAAGGAATATATTTGGATAAATTGGGAACCAACTGTAGATCGGCTTTCAAGACTTCGATCACACCTATCGATTTTTGCAAACAACCATTTTTGGGTTATTCCATATGTAAGTGCATGGATGACTTTGAATATGGTGTTTACAAGAAATGCTTTATCAAGTAAGATGAACAAAACTCCGATAATAACCATACGGTATATGTATATGATATTGGCATCTAACAGCACTTTACTCTTTCTCTTGTAATGTAAGCTAACAAAGAAAAATAGAAGAGAAAAACAAATATCCAATAATGAGCATGCACGATTACGATCCGTCTTCTTCGATTGACCTATTAAAGGGAATAAAGAGAGAAGAGGAGTGGACCCTAAAGTGAAGAGACATCACTTTTGTAATCTTAATCGCTTGCATTTCACTGAGAAGGCATTAGTATCTTCTGCGACCATTTACTTAGGACCACTCTTTGCACCTCATTTCCACACTTACTTCCACTTTAGAATCTTTGTCTCATCTCTTCGCATGTGAAAGAAAGAGAGGTTTATGTGTACTCCTCTGGGTTTTTACACATGCAACACAACTAGACCCTACGTAGATATATTATTTTTCAATATAAACTGTCTTTTCTTTTTGTGACTTCCACTATAAAATGTTTATCAATCATTGATTATTTCGTTAGAATGATTATACGAATGTTTTGGTACGAAGAATTGGACTCCGGTCCTGTATTGTGATTCGTCCACTAAGGGAGGGATAGTATATATGCAACTCTCTGACTAAGGTATAAAATGGAAGGTCTTCGTCTCAGGCTGTATGTAACAAGGTCTTGCTGGGCTATCAAATGTGTGTTGGAAATCTTACCATATGCACAAGAGTTGATTGTAAATTTAAGGGGTAACTAGGCTGGTTAAAAAAACTGCAACACACCAACAAATACTCAATCCTGTTTCTTTTCCTAATAATTGATTTTAAGGTTTCTGAATACGTTGACTTTTTCAACTTTCACTTACTTTACGTGCGACTCGACGACTGTTGCGACAAAGTCAAATTCATAGGTAACACACCTTGTCTTGTATTTTAACATTTTTTCCGTTTTTATTTAGGGTTTTTTCGAGAGTCCCACTTTCATCAAATGTTAATAGAACTTTTGATTAAAGGGGAAAAGTATATTAAATTGTAAATTTTGTGGCAAGACAACCGTGGAGGTGAAATTAATTTAATGAATAAACATTTGGTTGGAGTACAAGAAAATAAAAGGGTGTAAGAAGATTCTTTCAAAAGTTCACATTCAATAAGAAAATGATTTGAAAGAAACGAGGTAATGGACTCATGATGCTAATATAGCAATTGCAGTTTTATGATTCATGTATCTCATAAACTCAATAAGTTCTTATTATTTTCAGCTTATTATAATCAAAGTATCAAACTAACAAACATGAATCATGATTACGTATGGTCTTTATGTAATGATCATGATTACCGCGTAAACTGAAATTTGTTCTACGTAACTTCTACAAAAAGTAAACATGTTTATTTTCATATAGAGAGTTACAAGGAACGTATGATGTGGAATTGAGATACTCCAACGCACTACTCGTGGTTTTGTTGGACAATGACTAATTAAGCTTGAAAACCCAGCCTAAAAACGAACCTAATTTGTGTAGCCAAAACTGAAATGCTAGTGCAAACGCAAAAACCGAAATTAGCATGAGTTTCATTAAAAAAAAAACATGTTTAAATTAAAAAAAAAAAAGGAAAACAAAAATATTGGTAAACTTTGGTGTGGCTTTTATTAGTTAAAATCCTCATGAGTAATTATGGAGAGATGTTTGGTCACGTCAGATCTGGTGACAGATATTTCAAATCCGAGATTACTCTTTTTAATCATTAATCAATCAGAGCTTCAAAGATCCATAACCGTGGGATGATAGGACCAGTTATGTTTGACAGCTAGTGTTGCCGTCCGATCTTCTTTTGCCCATCTAATTCAATTTAGTTAAAGAGAAATTAACGGACAAAAACTGAAATGGTCCATTTGAGACCGTTAAGATAATGAATGCGAAGGACCAGTGAGAGTTTAAAGCATTTGGAATCGGATGGTTGAGAAAGAAATAGGACCCATAAGCGCCAAATGTACGACAGTGGCTGGATCGTCCAGCGAGATCACTTCCCTTGTGGAGGAGAAGTTGCACTGATGACTCATATGGACCACATTTCCTATCTCTCCCTAATACTTATGAATTTTATTAAGTTTCAAACGTATTTCCCTCCTCTATTTGAATTTATATTTTTTAATCAAATGAACTATTGTTCTTTCCCGCGAGAATTTTAGTTCTTCAGATTTTTTCTCAGTATATTTCCAATGTCATGTTCATCATTTCTCAAAATGAAATAGTAATTTAACTACAAATTTTTTAGCAAAAAAAAAGTACAAATAAAATAAAAGAAATCTTACTTTAGCATCATTTCTCTATGATATGATATATCATATATGCATATATATATTATCTGTACGTAAATAGTCATTTTGTTATGGTGGAATAACCCAATGGCTCGGTCACTTGGTTCTTGTCGCTAGAGTCTTCGTAGGTTTGACCTAAGTTCTTTGATGTGAAACAAAATGTGGGTCTTTTTCAGAAAACAATATTAATTACCTATAAATATATTCATAAAGGAAAATAGATATGATGAGGCCGGATAGACTTTTAGAGAGTAATTAAATACGAACGATATAGCATTCATCCATCGGATCATTACGTTGTATACCCGAATATAAGTATCCCTTAAAAAAATTAATGGGTCGACTTTTCGAATGAAGCTTAATTAATGCGTGACTAAAAATGAATGAATAAAATGGACAGTGTGTGGCCATGAAAATGCAGATAGGGGTCTTTCGTGCCAATTTTCTCTAACGGTAACAATGTAAAGCATGTTAATTTCACATAAAAAAATATGGAAAGTTAAAGTGTTATTTATAAACAAACATATTGTAACAATGCAAACTAAAATCCCCCGCATGAAAATTTGGTCAGGTGTTTTTAGTGAAACCATCATAATCATACGGTACCTTAGGTTTTATTATGTTTTTTTAGGCAAATTTCTATTCATCACATGTATTCTACTATTCTGCATGGCTTAAATTTTGATTTCGTTGCTTATTAAAAAACCCAAAGATACTTCATACTTCCAATTTTGATAATTATAATGAATTGTTGAAAAATTGTTTTGAGCATATATACTTTTTGTTTTGGGTTGTCATCGCGGTATATAGATATTTTAAAGACGGACTTCTTTATGCAGTGCATGAAAATATCGTGAAACCATATATATTCTGATTTTTATTTCAGTCGCATGTATAAAACATATGGACGCAATCATCTATACCGTTTACTGTCGAGGAGCACCACTTTCCAACACGATTTGGTTGACAAGCCAACTATATAATTCAGAGCCAAGAAAAAGCACACACTAAAAAAGGCAAAATTAAAGAAAAAAAAAAGCTTAAGAAAAAAAGAAAGCAGAGACATGATTTGAAAAAAGTAAGTGCTTCTTATGTTAAAAATGTGGGACTAGGAACTGTAACGATAAATCACATCTGTTTGCCTACTTGGAGTCAGCCACTACTAAATTTACTTCTCCAAATTTAATTATAACAAAAAGTGCTGTTTCGAATTAAAGATATTATGATGTTGACAAAATAAAATTGAAAGATTTGATTTGGGATCTGAATATCTGATATTGTTTCCTAAAATTTCCCCAACAGCTTGGCAAAAGTGTAGGGGCTCCAGCTTGTTACTTATGTGCTTTTTACAAAAGTAAATTTCTGTAAGATCCTTGTTCCCCTTTTCCCTTTTCCCTTTTCCCTCATGTTTGCCATAATTTTATCTTTATTTTACGTATTAATATCTTCTTATGGAATAAAAACCATCAGAATTTGAATGGGTTTACTTCTGAATGAAACACAAATTTATTTTGATTTGAACGGCCAGAAAAAAATCCATTTCTAAACAATGAACCCACTTTACCCACATGGTTTTAAGGTCAGTGTACAATCTCTAATCACATGACTAATGGTCCAAGTACTTCGAAGAAAAAACGAGACTTCATGGTGAAGTTGATCTCTCTGCCCCATAAGTACCTTTCTCAAGATGCAATGGATATAGTTCGACCGTTCAATAGTTAGTCCATATACATCGATTGTTCGTTTGACATCGCTTACTACAAAACATAATTCATACCTGACATGGTGATTTACTGATTTTCATTTTCCTTAATAGACTATATAAACGGTTTCACAACGTTTTACTGATTTTTCTAAATGGATTTTTTCCCCTCGCAAAATTCCACAGCAGCAGCCAAAGAATCATAGGGGCATAATAGGTTTTTGATGTAGCTCTTTTTGCAGAGACTTCCAAAGATTCACAAATACTTAGGAAAGACTAACATTCGCTTCGCTTACTAGTGACAACTTTCACAATTTTTCATGGAATTTGGGAGATCTTATTAATACGGCCAAGATAACAAATCCATAATCGAATCTAAACCGAGCGATATATCTGACATGAGATCTATGATAGATTTATATATATATAGCCAAATAAATTCAAAAAATATGACAAGAAATCATGTGGAGACCGTACATCTAGCAATAATTGGGAAAAAGGGTCAGCAGAATTATAAATGTGCAGGTCTTAATTTCTGACGAATGTACAACCAGTGGTCCAGATTTATATGATACTTCTACTAGGGAATGAAATCATTTCGACAGCGAAATATCATTGACACACTCATTCGACACATTTTCTAACCTTTATTTTTATTTTTGCTGTAAGTAGTTACTCATATGTCCGTTAACTTAAGAGGTTTAGCTAAACAAAATTATGTATATAACAAAAAGAGCTCACCACAAAACTCTGCCAAAAATATTGAACCAAGAAAACAAAGAGCATACCTAACTAGGGAAAACTAAAAAAAAAAAAAAAAAAAAAAACTAGAAATTAAAGAAAATTAGAAAACAAAGAAAGAAGGTATAGAAAGATTTACAAAGTGGGTTATAAGCATGCAAAGAGGAGAGGGTCCCCTCCTTTCCTTTGGGCAGATGATCATCAATTCCCACCACAATCACTCTCACTGTATATCCTTTTCATTCTTTCTTTTCCCCAATTTGCATTGCATGCTGGAGATAAGTCTTAATTTACATCACTCCCCAATCCTCCTTTCAAACCAAAACCATCAATTTTCTTTCCCGATCGCTACCGGCCCGAGTCTCCAAGTTATGTTTTTCTCTTGATAAAAAGCCTTAATTAGTTTCTCAACCGTCGACTAGTCTTTAGACTTGATCAGATCTTCTTGTCGTGAACACTCGAATATGTCTTGAGCTATTCTCTTTGCATCCATTGATGCTCCAAATATACCACGTTTTGTGAATCCGACAGCATATAGTCCACACTCCCCTCTCCATCCTTCCGGAAACTCTTTTATTGGAAATCCATCTTGCTTACTAAACATTTTATTCTCCTACAAAATTAATTACACATTTAATACAACTTCTTAATGAATATATTTCTGAAACTGAAGAAATTTTGACTAGAATAACAAAAGAAAGAAGATTTTCATGTTTGTACGTTGAAGATAGTGGACATAGGTAAAATAACTAAGTTATCATTATTGACTACCTTTAGCCAAGAGGGTACGTTGCTTTTGTAGCCAGTTGCCAATACTATGGCGTCAAATCTCTCCGTTTTTCCGTTATCGAACTCAACTTCATGTCGTTTTAATCTTCTGATCCCCGAACACACCTTTTACCAATTAATAAATCAAATATCACAATCAGTAGGCCAATTATTAGCATATATATATATATATATGTATATTTCATATTTGATTAGGTAAATACGATACCTTGATGTCTCCGGTTTTGATCTTGGCGAGAGTCCCGACGTCTAGAACCGGAGTTTTACCAGTGAGGTTTTTGAGCTGTAGTGGACCTAACCGGGGTCGGTTAAGACCTAACAGGGTGGTATTCCCGAGGATGAACCGGGAAACAACCAAGAGGAAACGGTCAACGAGACGGATGGGCAGCCATTTGAGTAACAACATGGACAGCCCAAAAGTTGAAGTACCCAACATCTCTCGTGGTAGGACGTGCACCTTCACCAGTTAAAAAGCGAAATAAACATAATTAGCAAATATATCACCTTATATAATTTGAATGAGAAAAATCATATTATACGTATTACTGGGACTGTTTTTTTTTTTGGATGAGAATGTTTGCGCGTGCTCTTGACAATCCCAATAAAGTTGTGTTCTGATAGTTTTTATTCCCTTGAAATATTATAAAAATAGTATTTCCGTATTAAAGAAATTAGGTAAACCTCTTTATTCTTAAAAGATTGTATTAACAGATTGTTGGAACTTGAAGTCACAAGGCCTAAAAGACAGAGAAAAAAAATCTGAATTCAGGATAATACCAGCTTCCATTTTTTTTGAAAATAAATAAATAAAGAGATCAACAAGCAAATATACGAATATTAAACTGAAAAGCATAAATTATTATACATTCCTTTCCCAAATCTTTACTCTAAAATACTTAAAAAAATCAAAGTTGCACAACATATTGTTTCTCTGAAATCATCACCCACATAAAAAAAACACAATGATTAAAATTTGAAAGTAAGAAAAATATCTTTTAATATATTAATTTGGAATAAGTATGTATAAGTTTTATGAATTAATGATTAATAGTAAAAAAAAAATAGAAAGCAATTAGATGAATAATGAAACTTAACAAAAAAATTCTCAAAAATAAATATGTTTAAGGTTGAAACATGAGTGTTCATTTGATTAGATTTTAATTGCAAAAATACTTAACTAGATTATTTTTTCTTTCTAAATCCTATTTAACTAGAGCTTCTTAAAACATATTCGTAGAACGGAATTTTCCTAGTAACATCTAAATATTAAAAGAATCAATTATATTCATATCGAATTAAAACCTACAGGGAAAACACACAATCCTGGAAACTAGAAAAATTTCTTTACCGAAAAAAAAACTAGAAAAATTTAGAGAAAAAAAAAAGCAAATTTTAGTAAACAAAGTAGGTAATATCTTGAGTTAAAAAAGGGTTAGGTAACATCAGAAGATCAACTTGAATGAAAACAAACTTTGTATATGATTTTGTTTTTTTTAAGCATAGAAGAACTCTACAAAACATGAAAGAGCCAAAATATCGAAAACGCATAACGAAAAAGTTAATTTAATCTCATTAACACTTTTAGAAAAATCAAGAAAAACAAGAAAAGCAAAATGAAAAAGAAGACTCACCGCGTCTCTGACAACGAGAGAAGGCTGAGCACCGAAATTGCAGAGATCCAAACAAACCTCCATGCCAGAGTTTCCACATCCGACGACCAAAACCCTTTTTCCGGCGAAATCTCCTCCGGTCTTATAACTGCTTGTGTGCTTAACTACCCCGGTTGCCGAAAACTTCTCCATCCCCTCAAATCTCGGGACCACCGGCTCCGCATTCTCCCCCGTCGCAGCTACCAACCACCGGGAAGCATACTCCGTCGTGCCTTCTTCTCCCACGCTCGTCACGCGCCACATACCGAGGTTTTTATCAAATTCCGCCGACTCAACCGTCTGTCCAAACTCAGGCCGTATCTCGAACCTCTCGGCATAATCCTCAAGGTACTCAATGAACTGCTGCTTCGTCGGATAAGTTGGGAAGTCGGCGGGAAAGGGTACAAGTGGAAGTTCACAGAATTGCTTAGGAAGATGGAGGTGGAGGCGGTCGTAAGTCTTGAGCTGCCACAGTGAAGCTATGCAGTTTGATCTCTCTAGTAGAACCGACGTTATTCCTCTCTCCTTAAGACAAGCCGCCGTCGCTAGCCCCGACGGTCCGGCGCCTACGATCAACGGTCCGGTGACGACACAGAAGCGACGCGGTGACGTCATCATACCGTGTTGGCTCTTTGAGGACGACAAGTAGTCATGTGCTAGTTTCCCTTCCATCTCTCTCATCCAACAGAAATCCATCAAGAAAGCTAAACCAAGAAGCGCTTCTTCTCTCTCTCTCTTGCTTTTATATATAGACACTTGGGTGTGTGTATTTGTAATGTAATAACTATGTGTACGTATTTTTAAGAAAATACGAGAAGGGTTTGTAGTAGAGAAGTGGTGGTGGTGGTGACAGTAATTAAGAGCAAAGGACAAAAAGAACAATTTGACATTGATGGCGTTGAGTAAGGGAAAAAAACAGATATGGTAAAAAAAAAAGGGAGTTAAAATAGTTATGATTAGTTCTTTGGAAGAGGATAATTAATATTCTCGGATCGGAATCAAAGTGGTTAGGGTTTGGATTGAATCTGCTGAAAATGAGGGGGAGAGATAAAGAGAGAGGGAGATCTTATCCAAATGAGAAGAATGAGTAAAGAGAGTGAGAGATAATCGTTGTTTGTGTTTTGATGAGAGTTGATATCGGAGGATGATCAGAGAACTACGGGTCTCTTAAATCGCCATTCAAACTTATAGGAGAGAGAGACTAGAAAATTGTTAGTTGTGATGTGACTATCTCTCATATATGTGTTTATATACAATAAATATTATATATAAATATATGTGCTTCAAAATCCTTAAATATGGGTTTATATAGTTAATGAAGTTCTTTTTTTTTTATCGCCCACCTGCGAGATTTTTGTGTTCCACTATACTTTTGACTCTTTACCTCATGGAAATCTCAAAGATTGATGTTAGTAATTAATCTTTTGATTGTCCTATGATCACTCAATGTATCCAGTCTCCACAAATAATATGAGTTTAATATACAAAGAAGAGTATTTATATATTTGTTTCTATAATTCCATTATTTTTTCATCATATCCATTAGCAGATTTCACCATTTTACATATACTAATTCATCGTCAGTAAATTTAGTTAAATGTATGTTTAGAAAGAAAATTTAGTCCACAACATGTCGGTATGCAATAGTCAGTAAATCCGACATCTTCTTATAATTAACTTTCGTAAAAACTGAACTCAAAATACAAGTGACGTTTTCACATGCAAATAATGTTATCCACAATATTTCCTTAATTCTGTTTTGGATAGCTTAACAGTTAACATAATTCATGAACAACCTATTCGTTAAGATGTTTCTCGGGCTAGCTTAGCAAATTAAATAATCCGGTCGCTGATATACAATACCAAGATTAGCAAATTTATAGCGCGTCTTTTACTAAATTTATTATATGGTGATAATTGAATAGAAAAACAAAAACAATACTAGTAGCAAATAACATAAAAAAAGAGTAGGGGTCTACTAGCGTTGGGCCCGGTAGTACGATGACTGGGCTAACCTGTATCGACAAAGTTGAATTAGGTTGAAAGTACATCTCTATTACCATACTCCTTATACTGTTGTTAGTTGTTCCTGTTCTAGACGAAGTAAGGCAGCCAAACTTCACTCTCTTATTCGGAGAGGAACGTCTTTCCTCAATCCAGATAGAAACCTAGCTAATCTTTCAAATGATCAGTGGAATTATGATGTAGTTCATTTGCTCAAATTGACTTTGACATAAACATGGTTATTTCCGTTAAACTAATCAAAGAAAAATGCAAGAACTTGACGTAGAAATTGAATCCAAATAAAGAACAAGATTAAGCTCAAGAAAAAGGAAGAAGAAGAAAAATAATAAGAGATTATGCTCCGAGATCTTTGACCACCAAACCACAATCGCTCGGCCATATGTCTAGTTAAATCTTTCATTATCATTTTCTTAATTATCATATTGTTTAGTGTCATAACGAAATTTATCGATGTGTAAACTATATACTGTTGGCAACTTAGTATTGAGGAAGTGTCGTGTCTCGTCAGCCATATAGATCGTACATTTGGCAACTTTGTACTTCATAGGTTTTTTTTCTTTCGCAAATGGTACTATTTTATATACATTCTTTTTCCCCCCTCCTGAATAATCATTTTATTGCCAAGCTTTTTTTGAGTGTGTATGAATATTATTATAATACTTTCTTTTAGATTATATGTCAAGGGAGCCTTTTGCTTTATTTTTCAAAAGATGTTTCAAAAAATAATAATAAATTTAAGGTGGTTGATGAGTTATTAATCATGAGTAACAGTATTAGAAATTTTGGCTTTATTTAGAAAAAATATATGTTTTTATTAATAGAAATATAGAAATGTTAAAAATGAAGTTTATTAGAATTAAACATGTATAATAAATATTTCATAGAATAAAGTAGTATCATATTACATGAAAATAAAATATCGGACCAATCCAATTACCGATCTAATCCAATCTCATTTCAGAGTAACTTTCGGTTTCAGACGACAATAATCAGGTATTTGGCAGATACAATATTAGAATTCTTTGATCGGAGTTTTGTATCCCATTCAAAATAAATATTATTGTACATTTTGTTAATAAAAAGAAAAATATAAATAATTATTGTAAAAGTTAATTTCGATTTCTGTATTTCGTATAGAGAAAAAATACTAAGATTGTGAGGGTATCTTTTGTATTTCTCATTAGAAAGTAACTACTAATATATCCGCCGTATCCCTCACTATGACACTATTTCTATAGGTTCACATTGGAATATCAAGCAGTCGCTATTCTCTTGCTATAGATTTTTTTTATTGTACGTGTTTATATTATATTTATTAATAAAAATCGATATTTTTGGGATAATTTGCAGATTCTTTTTCTTGTATTGTTGAAGGTTATACCAAAATCCTTATACAAAATTTTGACTATTTTTTTTCTTTTATTATTTTGGACTAAAATTTCCTTTCAATTGCATGCCGACTAATCGTTTAATTAACTAAAATAGTACAAAAGATACCAATTTCGTACTAATTGTCACCACAGCTATAACCTCATTGGCATGCCCTTTTGCTATTTAAATGGTTTTTCCTTTCGCCTTTAATTATACATATATCTGCAAAAAACTTCGTCATTTCGGATGTCACAATAAGCGCTAGAGAGAACTCATTGGATGCAGATACGAGTGGAGTAAAGATCCCAAGCCAGACAAAATTTCACACACCTAATCCTTTTTATTTTGGCAACCCATTTTGTTTTATTGACCACTCCGAGAGTAAACCTAATTAAGCAAATAACCTATACCCTACCATGTACCTTCGTACATGTGTTTATTATAAGTATTAAAGTATGACACACTAATATTGCTGCGCGAGATTTAAAACTATATATTTTTGGCTCGGTCCTAACTATAAATTTTAAATATATTTAGTGAATTATTTCATAAAATGAATAATATAAATACTTAAGTTGCATAATTTTTTATATTATTTTTTAAGATAGTTATTACTTAGTATGTCTATGGTTTAACATTGTTACTATTTCTAAAAAGCATATAGTTACGTTTACTGTATGATAATTCATTTTTGAAAAAAATATAAAAGATATTAGAAACAAATTTGATAGAAAGCAATGCAATATAAGCTAAGGTAGTAGACGAACGTTGTTAAGGGTTAACAATAGTATAGTTTAATCAAGCTGATATCTGAAAAGGCCATGGGAACTGACTTTTAAGTGTGAGATCAATAAAGGTATAAAGGAGACACGATAATAGGCTTTATAGTGCCTACAATGTAGCCTAGGCGTTAGAAATGTCTTTACGTGTTAGTTTAAACCGTCTTTATTTTTAAACTTACTTATGCAATCAGAGTGTCATAAAACTATACTAAAGTGATGCTATTGTATTATTTTAGTAAGTAGTAACCCTAGAGAAAAGCAAAAAAGAAATAGTAAGCTAAAAGCATTTAACAAGGTTTCCCTCCTATTGGTAATGTTATAGGATAGTGGAAATGTGGAATGAAACAATGAATCGGTATAAACAGTTAACAAATGCAGGATGCTTTTGTTTTTTTCACATGATTTCTGAATCGACGTATTATACACCGCCTTACACAAAGATGGAATTTGGAGATTATCAAATGTGGTTGAAACTATTGAAGCAGGCGTGGTCACATAAGTTCCCGAAGTTCCAAAAGGAGAGGCAAGCAGTGGTTTTACATTGGCAAATAGGTGGATCATGGAATGAGACACATGAGCCAGGATGGATTTGGATGGACCCTCTAAAATTCAATGGTATAGTATCCTGGTTCCAAAAAAAAAAAAAAATGGTATAGTATCCTTAGACTTTAAGGTTCTGGTCGATATTTCGCACAAACAAAAATTAAAAAACACAAATGGATTTATATAGTGTTCATCAGCTATGTCTACAAAGTAATGGAGATTGATTTATTAACGGTAATAGTGAATTCCAAAGATGTAATAAGGTAAAAGAAAACAAGAGTATATATTTCTCAAATGTTAATCCTAATTATTTGACTTGATCATACACCTAGGCATATATATAAAATCCAAACCCAAACCACGCACGGTCCAATGTATGAATACATCCGTGCTATCCGTAAGCAACATGCTATCAAATTCAATTTATATTAATATCTGATACCTCTATCTGAAATTTTCGTGAAAATTTGTCCCGGTAAAAAACCAAGTGTACGCGATTTTTATATTTTTCATTTTGTAGTTTAGTGCCAGATTGACTCTCTTTCGAGGTGATTGGTGAGCCTTTTCCCCACCTAGTATCAATATGATTTTATTGTATTATTTCCTGTAATAGAAAATAATAACTAACTAATATCTGGACGCCAAAACGTTTTACAGCAATATATCAATACGAATATGAAATTAATTAAAGTTTTGTTTGCCGACAATAATTTTAAAGAAAATTTGTCTTTTTGATCCGGTCAGATTTTTGTTAAAATGACATTTAGCTAATTAAAAGTAGAAAATATAAGGAGCAAACAATGCCAAACAATGCACATTGATTTGCTATTTTGTTACATTTAATATAGTACGTACTCGCTAGATTTAATCTGATCCCAGAAAAACTAGTATTAATCTCTAGCGCAGCAGAACGTTTTTTTGTCAACTACTTGCAATCTTGCATGGTGCAGA